TACAATACAGGGCAGTAATAGGCAGGTCCAATAATAAGGCCAATTAATTCTTTACATGAGGAAGGACGAACTGATTTTAGATAATATTTGGGGGGCTTATATAGCATGATTTGGGGTACAAACATTAAAAACAAACAAGTTGGGTTTGCGGAACTTATTATAAAATAATTTCGGATCCTATTTATAAAAAATAAATATAATTTTTTCACACAAGCAAAACGGGAACTTAAATGTACAATTTTCCTATAAATTCCATTTTTTGCGGAAAATGGATAAAAATGATTATTATTATTATTAAAGAAAGGATAAAAAAGGGGACATTGATAGCCTAAGGCGGTGCAAAGACAAAGGAAGTTAACAGCGCCGCTAATAATTATTTTTAGATTTATTTTTATTAATTTTGATTAAGCGGCGCTGCAACACGCAAAAATTCGTAGGGATAACGGCCAGGGAGCTTCTGGGGCTATAGCTCCCTCTTGTACATAATGGGGAAAATAAAAAAAATTTCAAAAAGCCAAAAAATAAAAAATAGACCTTGTGTCTGTAGTAGAAACCTCGCCATTCACTGTAGAATTCTTGCCGTCTTGAGATATTAAGAAAATTGAAGAAATTTAAAAATTTTTAAAAATTTTAAAAAATTCTAAATTTTCCATAAAAATGTCGCAGTTTGCGAATTTTTTCCCAATTAGTCATATTTATTTTCCTTTCCGGTCGTTTATAAAAAATATTTTTTCCCAACAATTCCTAAGATTAAAGAGATAAAACTTCCTTATATAAACAATTCCTGTAAACTCTTTTCTCAGCTTTTCTTATGTTCAGTTGTCAGTTGCTTTTTCTGTGCTCATTTGTAGTAATTTAATTTTCTTTCCTTACAGCTTAGTAATCGCACTAGCTGATTTCTTATTCTTTGTGTTCCCTACAGCCTAGACTTGGCTGAACACTCTTTTTTCTTCTCCCTGAATTCTGCTTATTCAATAAGCCAATCTTTAACTTTTCTCCTATTAATTTATTGTTAATATTCTTTGTGTGAAATAAATATTGGTAAAATATTTGTGTTAGACTTTACTGAGCCTAAGGGTTTTACTTCGGAATATTTTCTTCTCTTTTTCCGACAGCTCAGCCGGTGAACGAAACCGGGACCTCTTGCATTTGAATGGCTATTCTCCTCATAAATCACCTAAAAATAATCCTAAAGTCCAATTTTCCCATTCAAAAGTTCAATTATCTCCCAATTGTAATAGGAAAACTCCAAAAGAAATAAAAACATTCTCTCCTAAAAAACCCAAATCAAAGCCTTCTAATAAGGAGCCTCTTGTTTCTAACACACAATTGAAAAATCCCAAAGAACTTTTTGGGTCAAATCTTTTCCCATGCCCACCTAAATTCCAGAAAAGGAATCGAGGACAACAAATTCGTCCGCTTTTCCCTTTGGACAGAAATCGTCCATACGGCCATCCTTCTACGTTAAATTACCAGAATCATTTTAAAAGTTTAAATATACTTAATCCTAAGTCCGGCAATATCCCAAAAATAGCTAATAAATCTTCATCAATTTTTGCTGGGCAGGAGCGCGCTCATCGCGTATCACCCTCAACTTATAATCCCATTATTACCTACCCTGCCCCAGTTAATTATAAAAACAATTTAAACCCAACTTCCAGAAAAATCCCTCCTCTCATCCCCTCCCTTTTCAACAAAATTTTTCTTCCCACAGGTGTTGCTCTTCCTTCAATAGGTAGTGTGTTTGCACATGGAGAATATGCACCCACTCTTCGTCCGTATCAATTCACTCCAATGAACTCAACAATACCGATCAACTCTTATCCACAACAACAGATGTATCCCACTTATGGCTCAATTCCATGGTGCTCATTCATGCCAATGGATAGATATGCTTTTGCCTGACCCGAACGAAAGAATAAATTGAAGAAAAAAATAATTAAAAACCTAATTTTCTTTTCCCGCGGTTGTCCTAAAACAATACTCTTGTCCGCGGAGTGTCGCAGTTTGCGAATTTTTTCCCAATTAGTCATATTTATTTTCCTTTCCGGTCGTTTATAAAAAATATTTTTTCCCAACAATTCCTAAGATTAAAGAGATAAAACTTCCTTATATAAACAATTCCTGTAAACTCTTTTCTCAGCTTTTCTTATGTTCAGTTGTCAGTTGCTTTTTCTGTGCTCATTTGTAGTAATTTAATTTTCTTTCCTTACAGCTTAGTAATCGCACTAGCTGATTTCTTATTCTTTGTGTTCCCTACAGCCTAGACTTGGCTGAACACTCTTTTTTCTTCTCCCTGAATTCTGCTTATTCAATAAGCCAATCTTTAACTTTTCTCCTATTAATTTATTGTTAATATTCTTTGTGTGAAATAAATATTGGTAAAATATTTGTGTTAGACTTTACTGAGCCTAAGGGTTTTACTTCGGAATATTTTCTTCTCTTTTTCCGACAAAAATTATTTTTTCGTTAATAATTGTTGTTGGTTATTGCTAATTGTTATGGTAGACCACCTAAAGAACAAAGAAAATGCTTAAAACGAAAAAATAAATCAGTTACTTTCCAAAAATTTCTATTTTTAGGGTATTTTATTCTAGGTATACTGAATCGTCCCCTTTTCCACGTATACTGAATCGGCTATACTGAATCGGCGAATACTGAATCGGCGGATACTGAATCGGCGTAGACTGAATTGGCGATACTGAATCGGCGAGACTGAATCGGCGATACTGAATCGTCCTTAACCGATTAAATGCGGTGGGGTACTATTGAGTACCGCCGTTTGAGTACCGCCGGTTGAGTCCCTGGCCGTTTGAGTACCGCCGATTGAGTACCGCCGGTTGAGTCCCCACCCATGTGGGGACGTTTGAGTCCCCCCATGTGGGGACGTTTGAGTTTGAAAATTGCATTTTTCGCTTAAAAATTGAATTTTTTGCAAAAATAGACGAAAAATGCAATTTTTAAAAAATCATATCTCTGGTCCGGAAAAAGCTATTTCTAAGCGGTTTTGTGGAAAATACTCAGAAAAATATGCTTTATCATTTGGGTTTGTTAAATTTGTTCCGAAAAATTTTTCCGAAAAAGTGGGATTTGGTATATCCGGTAGATCCGGATTATCTCGGCCAATTTTCATTTTCATGAAAAATGCAGAAACATGTCAACTGAGATACGAATAGAGCTTTCGATTGGTATATAGAACGTATTTTTTGAATGAAAAATTAAGAATTAAGAAAAAATTTTAAAGCGCTTCCATACTTTTTTCCACGACTGTAAAATTTATTAAAGAAAAAGGGAAGAAATATTTATAATCTATCACAACATTGTTCTTGTTGATCTATGGCGGAGTGGTTAGGTTGATTGACTTCACTCATTTTAATGTTTTTTGGGGCTGGGTTCGAATCCAGACATGGGAAATAAGGCTTAAACAATTTTCCCTTCCAAAAATAAAATTTTTAAACTTTGATTTTGATTATAAATGTGTAAATTTATTTTTTTAAATATTTTAAACCTGAAAAACTTTAAAAATTTTAATTTAGTAATGAAGCTAGAATGCTGTTGAGTGATTAAGGACCTGCGTCGCAGAAAAGGACGATTTTTTCTCTTGGAAAAAAATCAAGGGATTAGATAATATTGGTGGATATTTGAGGTAGCCCGTAGCAAGGGGGGTGTGGCGGGAAAGGGAGAAATTAGGGGAAGAGCTCCAAAATTCAAAAAGTTCCAAAATTCAAAAAATTTCGCCTGCGGCGCAGTTAAGGGATTTGAGATTAGGAGGGATATCAGGAGATTAAGATGTGAAAAGTCTTTTGTTTGTGATTTAATGCTCTAAATATTTTTAAATATTTAGAGCATTTGCGGAATCAGCAGCAACAACATCTCAGATTTCTGATGAATTGAATGTTATTACAGATCAGGATAATTTATAATTATAATTCTCGTAATTTATAAAATTATAATTCTCGTAATTTATAATTTTGAATATGAATAAAATTTTTTGAATTTTAAATAATTTCGCATTTTCGCATTTCGCATCTTTCGCATTTTTCGCATTTTTTGGCGCGAAAAGTTTCGCATTCCGCATTTCGCATTTTATTTTTTTAAAAAAAGTTTCGCATTTCGCATTTCGCTTTTTATTTTTTGATTTCGCCCATCCCTGGTATGTTACCAATTTGGAGGTGATACCCGGTATTTTGATAGGTACCTATAATCCCTCATTATATTCATATACAATATACCCAATAGTAGTACCATACCCGCAATAATTCAGTCCTGGGAATCATACATACTTGTATGCAAACCTTAAAATCAGTCTATATATCCCCTTTAATCACTCCAGATCGCTCAAAATCACTCCATATTTATCATTATCACCTATAATCTCACCAATATCACTCCAGTATCCCACGTAATCCCTTTAAATGCCAAAAACAAGTCGGGGACTCAAACGTCCCCATATGGGTGGGGACTCAATCGGCGGTACTCAAACGGCCAGGGACTCAAACGGCGGTACTCAAACGGCGGTACTCAATCGGCGGTACTCAATAGTCTCGTTCCCGATTAATTGGATGCTGCGACAATTGCGAATGCGACAATTGCGGACTACAAATTGCTCGTTTTATTGTTTTTTTTATTGTTCATTGTTGTTCATTGTTCTTTTTACGTATTTCTTTTTTATTTTTTTTTATTTCTGATTTTTAGATTGACACGTGTTAGACTTGTTAGGCGTGTGTGTTAGACTTCTAAAAATTTTACATTATACATGTCTTATCAAGGATCAAGCCTTAATTATTTTGTGATATTTCTTTTGGTACTAAATGGTAAATTAGAATTTTTATATTATAATTGTTTTTAAAAATTAAGCTTCTAATTTTATTCTTCCAATTGACTGGAATAGCGACATTGTTCCAAATCAGGCGGAATTAAACGCTCAAAATAATGATGCATTAAGCAAATACTTTGGGACTGACATCAATAATTTAGAAATTTTTAGAAGTTATGAAATTATGCAGAAGCTTGTTGGCGAGTTTAAAGATGTGCCGTTAGAAAAGTGAGTGAAATTTTTACAATTTTTTTATTCTTGATTAAGTCTATCCCAACAACATTTTTCTAATATTCTTCGTTGATCTTCCCATTTTTTATTGAAATGGAAATTTATTAGTCTTTAAATTATCGAACTTTTTTTTTATGATTTTTTCATTTTTCCAGGCAGAAGAACCACAATTACAAAGAAATGACTTCTTGGTTAAAAGATTTGGCTGATCGTTTCCCTCATATTACTTATTTATATTCAATTGGCCAAAGCATAGATAAGCGTCAACTTTGGGTACTTGTTGTTGCAAGAAATCCGAGGGAGCATGAGATATTAAGGCCAGAATTTAAATATGTTGCAAATATGCATGGAAATGAGGTTTTTATTTTTTTGTTAAGACATCTAAAAGTTATTTTATGCATGTCTATCAACTAATTATTCGATTAAATTGAGCTTAAATATTTTCTTTTTTTAAATAATTCATTATGATAGGTTACTGGTCGAGAAGCACTTCTTTATTTGGCTTACATACTTTGTGAAAATTATGGCAGTAATGAATATTTAACGCGTATGGTCAATGAAACGCGCATCCATCTAATGGTTAATTTTATTATTCTAAATCCAATTTATTTTTTTAAGCCTTCAATGAACCCTGATGGTTATGAAATGGATAGACCTGGTGATCGTATTGGATATTTGGTTTGTTAAATAATTTTATATTTGGTTACCCTTTTTTTCTAAGGGCCGTTCAAATGCAGATAATGTTGACTTAAATCGAAATTTTCCTGCTCGTTATCCGATGCACAAAGAGGCGTCCGGTGGGATGAAAATTGAACCAGAGACAAAAGCTGTTATGCAATGGATGACCCAATATCCATTTGTTCTTTCTGCGAATCTTCATGGTGGCTCTCTCGTCGCTAATTACCCGTATGATGATTCGGATACAGGCGCAGATGGCATATATACAGCTTCAGCAGACGATAAACTTTTTGTACAATTGGCCTTTCAATATGCACGTGCTCATACAAATATGTGGTTATCTGGACGTCGTTGTGGGCTAAATGATAATGGTGATACTTTCCTTCATGGAATTACCAATGGCGCTGGTTGGTAGGTTCAATTATTTTCTTTTCAAATTTTTTTAATAAACATTGTTCAGTTCTCATAATTTTTGCTTAGGTACCATCTTTCTGGTGGGATGCAGGACTGGCAGTATGTGCACACAAATGCTCTTGAAATTACTGTTGAAATGGGCTGTTTCAAATTTCCATACGTTCGTTTCAATTTAATTGATCAAAATTCTATTTCGATTTTTAATTTAAGGACGATATGATTCCAACTTTGTGGAAGCAACATCGGTTCTCTTTGCTCTCATTTATGGAATCTGTTCATAGTGGTGTAAAAGGTGTTGTTCATGATGCCACTGGTGAAAGGCCAGTTTCGGGAGCCGAAGTAACAATTATAAAAGGAGGAAAAGGAAAAGCTGTGACAACAACACTTAATGGTGAATATTGGCGTCTTTTACCACCTGGAGAATATAGCGTAATTATTTTCTTTAAAATATTTTTTTCATGTTTAAATTTTTAGTTGCAAATTTCACATAAAAATTTCAAACCTTACCAATTCGATATAACTGTTGATTCTGGACCGGCAAAGGTTGTTAATATCAGTTTGAAAGGGATGGAATGTGATGGCGAAGGTTTATTTATTTAAATTTCATAAAATAATTTTTAATTATTAATTTTAGATATTCCTAAATTACAACTTTATATTCGGGGTAAAGGTCCTCTTAATTTATTACTTGTTGGTTTTGACTCTGCCGCAAAAGGATTACTTACGCGTTTGGTCAATCATTCTTGTCCTATGGATGAAAAGAAACGATCAAAATTGGTTTTTCTTTTCTATTTATTTTTTGATTTTAGCTATATGTATTAAAGGCTTACATGCTTCTTGAAAATGTTCGTCTTCATATTGTTACAGAATATAGCCAAGCTGATCAACTCTTGCAATATATGCGGAATATAAATGCTGATTCCCTTCTTATTTTTAGTGCCGGCCCTGCTCATTCGACAATATTTAATGCCGGAGAGAATACACCAAGACTGTTTAATCAAGATAAATTTGATCAAAGCTTGAAAGAGTAAGAGTTCATCATAACAAAAATCTTTTTCAAATTTTTAGAGTATTTTCTTCACAAGAACAGTTCTCTGATATGGATTCAAAAGCAGCAAATTCATTTAGCCCAATAAATTCACGAAAGAAGGTTCTTCGACCGAATTGTGAAGATCGTTTAGGTCAAACCAAAACGGCGTCAATTATTGATGAAATGAGACTTGGGCGAATTTTTGAATTGGGTATTGGAATTGGATGTGATTTTGGGAACTTTTCCTCAAAAGAAGATATTATGACTACTGGAAAAATGGATGCAGCATTGGATGCTATTATAGAGGTTTGATTTATTTTCCGATTTTTCCTTTATTTAAATTGCAGGTGATGCTGAATATTTCGAAACAAGACAAGGTACTTGAATTTTCTGTTGTTCCTTCCATTGCCCCAACTGATCATTTCACTCCTGCTGAAGTTCAGACGGTACAATTTTATTATACATTAAATTCTTTTTCGCTTAAAGGTAACACATTATGGCTACGATCGTCTTGATCAATCATCATCTTGCTCCGCCAAACTAATTGAAATGGATGGTGTGAAGCTTCGATCTTTGGGTTCACACAATGGGCCACATACATTGATTTTATCTGTAGAAATGGTTTGTTTAATTTATTAAATGAATGTTTCGTAAAAGTAATTATTTACATAACTTAAAATTCATTTTAGAAGACAGAAGCGTTGGTTTATCATCTTGGGGCCAGACTTTGTGGACAAGGACCTGTTGAAGGGTTAACAACTACACCTACCATTATAGACGAGGAGATGAGACAAGTACAGCGTATTTTGGAGTATTCAACCATTGTTTTGGCACCAGATATCCCACAGTCAGTATTCTAAATTATTTTTCGTTTAACCTTCTAATATTTTTTCTTGATAGTACACAATTGAATTGCCATGACTATCTGACCATTTCTCCGTTTATTTCATTGATTACGCAAATTATCAACTTGGTACCTGAAATTGATTTTGTTATCGTGTTAGGAACGGGTGGAATTAAAGTAAGACGATTTTTTAGGTTTATTTACTTTATTTACTTTTCTCTTTTTAGATTCGATTTATTGACGTGCGCAGGCCAGGAACTGACATTGGAATGACAAATAATGGCACGCTTATTATGTCACAACCTCCTTCAGCTGAACTCGACGAGAATGACCAAATTAAATTGCCTGATCTACCAAAAGGGAATTGGACATCTACGCCGCAGGCACTTGCACAGCTCTACATTGAAGGACACGAACAGATGCGGCAGGTGTTTATTTATGCTTATATATTAAAAATTAATTTGAGATTTTCCATAGAAGCTTTTTTATTACTTCACATTTTCTGTTTTTTCTTCAATTTATTTATAGAATAAAAGGGATATGTGTGCAACTAATCGCCCATCCACTCCAGTGCTCGATGAATTCCATTGGGCAACAGGGCGGGACAAATGGACATCAGCACCAGATGCTTTGCTTGTTCAAGTTGGTTGTTGCTATGAAGGCCAAGGAATAGTTAGTTTTTCTTTTAATGTTTTTACTTTTTTTATTATTTTAGAGCCATCTTTTTGAAGAGAATCGTCGTTCTCTCTTCTCAATATTAGAACGACGTTTGCAAGGTGTTTCAGGTGTTATTAGGGTTTGTAGTTTTTTGTTAATCACCGTCATTTAAATCTATCGTTATTATATTCACATCAGGAAATGAGTGGCGATCGTCTTTCTGGTGTGAATGTCTCTGTTTGGCCGATTCAAAAGGACCACAACATAATTTTGGAAACTACAAAGACTACAAAAACAACAAAGAATGGACATTATAATTTGGCTTTGGAGCCAGGAACATATCGAGCAATGATTATGGCTGATGGTTATGATCCAATGAGTAGTACTTTTACTGTGAGTTTATTTTTTATTTATTAAATTTTGTTTGTAATTCTCATATAAAATTTTCGCAAAAATCATTTCATTTTTTATTTTTAGGTTTCATTTGGACAATCGACGGTTAAACATTATGCTTTACACCGACCATTTACAATGAGTTTTGAACGCAGTATAGTTGCCGCATTGATTGCATTAACAATGCTTTCAATATCATTTGTATGTTTATTTAAGGAAATTATTACAAAAATTTTAATTTTGTAGTGTTGTTTATGTCGATCCATGAGACGTTCGAAAACAAAAAAATCTTTGACAGCTACGCAGGTTAAAGTGAATGAAAGGAGAAAAGATGGATTTGAACGTGTGCCTCTTCGGGTATTTATTTTGTAAATTTATTTTGTTATAATATATTAATTAGCAGGATTACCATTCCGAAAATGACTCTGACGATTCTGATGAGGAGGAGGTTCTAGATACACGAAGAATGGCTATGCCTGTTTGACATTGTAATTTATAGTTTTTCTTGGAATGATAGGGATTTTTTTTGTTTAATTTTTGAGAATATTTTAATTAACTAAATTTTTCTAATCTCTTCATTCCGAGATGATGTACATTATTGACTTTTATGTGCTCTCTAATCACTATTATTTTATTTTTAATTTGGTGGGCGGTTTATGAATTATTAAATATTTTCGTTATTACCTTTATGCTACACTTCCTTTTTAATGAAGCAAGAATAATTTATTAGAAACATTTCGACATGATGTGTTGATTGAAGTTCGTTTTAGCAAGATGAATTTGTATCCAGTTAGGACCGGTCAAAATGATTAGACTTAAGAATTAGACTTAAAATGATTAAACTTACACGTACTATAATGATTGTGAGTTTATTGTGACGCATTATTTGACTAAAATATGGTAAAATATATCCAACAGAATTAATATCTTAATTCCGTCAGTGACAGATTTTTTGTTGTTACCACCTAATGTAGAAAATAATAGGAGGTGTGGCATAAAGAATAAGTAAATTTTTTTCTAAAAATTCAAAAAAACTTGATGATTTTTTGTTACTTTTTAAAATTTTTGGCTCCGGTGCTGCAATATCAAATTCACTATTTTTTTAATTCTTTTTATTTATATAATATAATATTCAGATTTTGTTATTCTCTAAATTACTCCACATATTTTTATATAGAATACATATAATCCTCATTAGATTAATTTTTATTAATTTTCTTGGCTCTAATGATTTTTTAAAGTTATTTCGGGTGATTATTTTATTTCAGTTTTTCATTACAATTTTTCACAATTTTTAAACAATCTTTTGTCATCTTTGATTTGGAATTATTTTAAAATAATTTAAATTATGAGTTAGAGACATTTCAAAGATGATAATGTTATTTTACATATCTCATACTACGAAATTTTAGTTGTCTTGATTTAAAGAGAATAGTGGAAGGGACATACTTTTATACATATTTAATTTTTATATACTTTTTTAAATTGACATTTTGATATAACAAGATAAAGATTTGAGTAGTTTTATTCACTGATAAAATAATCAAATTTACTTGGTCGTGTACTTTAACTGAAGTCTACTTTTAAGTAGAATTTGCTTGCCTTTTGGGCTTTTTTATTTAATTTTGTTAATAATAATTAAATACTATATTCAAATTTGAGTAAAATATTGCAAAACTAATTCTCCAAAATTAATTTGTTTTTGTTAAGAATTTGCCTAATTTGAGCTTATTGCCTTATTTTTCTTTTAATGCTTTATTTTTCATAAAGATATAAGGGTAAAATTTGGCCCACAATGTTGTTATTTTTGCCGCTTTCTTAAATATAAATGAAATTGAACCTTTAAAGCTGTCGAGTGTTTGGCGCGCAGCTGACCACTATCCTACAAATAAAGAAAATAATTTGGCAAAAATATTTTTGTTTACATTCTTAGACTTTGCCCAAGGGTTTTTGGTCAATGTATTATTTTGAATTTTGATTTTTTAAGTTACTGTTTTTTAAATGCCTAGCTTGAATATTTTTTATATTAATTTTCAATCAGACTCATTTAAATTAGATAATTATACTTCATATTTTCTAATCCCCTTTAAATGCAAAGAGAGTGTCAAATTGATGAATTAAAAGAATTTAAGTACTTCAGAAAGAAATATTTCTTTTTTTTTTAAACAAATCCTTTTAAAAATTTATTTGTAATATTCCTCTCATTTATTTCATTTTTAGAGGCCTAATCTTTTGTCTTTATTTTTCCATTCTTTGTCCACTTGTTAACCTCTTTTAAAATTTTTTTTATAAATTTTATAGTAATATTCATTTATCAAATCCTCTTATTTTTTTCTATTTTTTGACAATGGATTTTAAAGAAGCTTTTTCACACTTGTTTTTAAATTTTAAATGCTCTTTGGCTTTTGCTTCATTTGATTTATTACCTCATTTTTCTGGACTTTAAACTTTATATTAATTTAAAATTTGAGTAAATCTTAAAAATAAATGGACATACTTGCATTTTTTACTAATTTTAAATACCGTATTTATCGAATACTTACTCTGGGTAATTATTATTTCAATCTCTGGTTGGAGGATGTAATTATTTGAGAGGGGGTAATTATTCGAGTATATATTCGACACTCTTTTAGTCTTGATACTTTAACTGACAATGAGAACTAAGTTATAATACTATTACCGTACTTACTTTATTCTCTCTCTTAACTCCTTAATCTAATAAACTTTTTAATGATCACATATTTTTTTAGTTTTTTATTTAATAAATAATGTAAAATACTTCCTTTTAATCTTTATTTTTCCTTCACTTCCTCCTTTAAAATTTAAAGACATCTTCTTCCCTTCAAAAGATGGCACTGAATTCTTAATTTCCTTTTTTTATTCCCTCCCTTTGTTTAGCCTTCAGCTATTGTTTTTGGAAAATTGAAAACTTTATTTGACCGGTCAAACAATTGTTTTTATCTTCTTTGCACGCAATTTTTTATGCATTTTACTTGCCTGAATTTAATTTAGTATTTGGATTTTTTCGGTCAAGAAGTTTTATTTTTTGTAGTAAATGCTTTTAATTTTTCGTTTTTTCTTTACAATAAAATAACCCCCCCCCCCTTTCCTCCTTTTTTGGCATTTCCATTCTTCTACCTACATAACAATTTACATACAAAAATACATTTTATTTTTCTTCTAAAATTGTAACGCCATCAAAAGGAATATATTGATCGTTAGTAGAAGGGAAGAAGCCGCGCAGAAAAGTTGAGTGAGGTGAATGAAGGATGGAGGAAAGGTACTGGCATATATTTTTGTGTAGAAGAAGAAAGATGTTACTATTCCTCAACAATCATCTATTCCCGCAACCTTATAAACAAAGTTTTGTGTTCCTTGATTTTTCACGCAAAATTTCAAAAAGATTAATGAATAAACAAACGGAACTTTGATTATCTCTAAAAATATTTCGGTAATAGTTTGGAAGTCACCTCCCCTTTTTTCCCGTTTCCCTGACCATTTTGAGCTTTTTTTGTTTGATATATAATTTATTATATATTATTCTAAGGAGCACTTCGAGTTTGGTCGAATGATACCAAAATTGGCTAGACTGGTATTTATCTGAATCTTAAAGTTTTGATGGGATTTCTCTAAATATTTATTTGATTATTCCATCTAAATTATGTATTAAATTTTTACTCTAAATTGACAATAAATACAAATAAATCTTAACAACTTTTTTAATCCAATTTATTTAATTTTTATTTTTAAATTATTAAATTATTATCTCAGCATGTTCATGTCTTTCCCCCATATTCTTGTCTTTCCCCCCATCATTGACCACAACAACTTGCCCTAGTTTTAGGCGGCCCACCTATTTTCCTCTAATATTTCTTTCCTTTCATGCGTTAAATAACAAAATACTTACCAACTCTACACACAACCATCACCTTTTGACCACTAATAAATTTTTACTTAACAAAATTCGACAAAGTTTTTATATTAATTTTTATTTAGTTATTTCCGTTCTAAATGATTTGTGTATATAAAATCATCTTATAAAATTTTTCTAAATTTTATTTTTTATATTTTAGTAAATTAGTAAAAAAGAATTAAAAATTATTTTTCGTAAAAAAGCCCAAAAAATATTTTTATTTATTTTCAATGTCTAGGACAGACTGTTGATGATGACTGGGCATTATTATATTTTTTAGGGACATTTATTTTTATTTTTTTTGACTGACCGAACAACCAAAACCCCCGATTAATATCAAACTTTACTTTATAGATTTGTTTTTCTATTTTTATTTCTCAACCATTTCTTTATTTTTAGCTTCATCACATTTTTATTTTTTTATTAGTTTTGCTATTTTAAAAGAACCATTTGAATTTTTATTTTTTTTTAATTTCTACCTGGTTAATTTAAATATTTTAAATAATTTAAAAAGAATATTTTTTTTTGATTTTTAATTTTGTAAGGAGAATAGCACAGAAATCAACGTAAAATAGGGGTAAGCAGCTTCACAAAAATTTTCGACCACTTATGGATTGTTTTAAATTTTCATTTTAGGCTCATTCGAAAGCCCTTTAAATTTGCTATAATCGTGTTAAATCCCATTTTCCAGAAAAATATTTCGATTAGTTGTAGAGGCGAACGTTAGTTGCATAGGCTAAATTTAGTTACTTTTGTCCCTTTATGTCCACTACTGTATTTAATTTAATTAAATATTTATTGTAAAATTACAAGTTATTTATTGTTTGGCTAGAAAAATAAAAAAAAGTTTTTATCAGCTTTTTTTTTATTTAAAAAACAATTTTCTATAAATATTTTTTATTGGGACTGTGATTCACAACAAAAAATATTTCTTTTTATTCTTTTATTTTAATCCACTTTCTCTCTTTCCCTTTTATTTTAATGATTTATCACTTGTCCATTTAAAAAGTCTTTTTTAAAGTGTCAGTTGAATTAATAAAAGGATAGAGTTTGAAAAGTATGTAGGTTTATTTTAGTTACCTACGTATTAAAAAAAGAATAAAATTAATTTATAGCTAAATAATATTTTAATTTTAAATATTTCGATTTAATTATTTCGATTGACCCCTCCCCCTTTTTCTCATTTTTCTAAACTAATTTATTTATTTTTGGAAAGAAATCTTCAATCTGGGTCGAATGATACCAGGATTGGTCAGATTTGCTCATTCTCAATAAAATTGGGAAACTGAATCCTCAATGGAGAGGCAGGCTTTTTGTGCCTTTGCAAGGGGTTAAAACTAATGGTCATAATTCTGTTAATTTAAGTTGGATCTCGTTGATTTTGGTGCCATAAAAAATAGGAAGGGGAAGAAAGGGGAGTTGAGGGAGGAGAAGGTCAGCCGAACTCTCCTCCCTTCTCCAAAATATTTATTAGTTAAAATATTATTTTAAAAATAATTTAATACCTTCCAAAACTTTTTTATTCACCAATAATTTTATCCAGCTTATAACACTTTTCTAACCTTTTTATTTTTTATTCCTCATTTTTACTCATTTAAAAACGAGATTAACGTAATTAAATATTCCGGATTTTTAAAACAAATAAATATTTAATGGGGAAATAATGACCAATTTAAAGTTTACTTAATTAAATATTTTACTTTAAAAATAAACAAATAATTATATATTCTAATTAAAAATTAATTATAACTTTAATTTTTTTTAATCTTCTTTTATAAATAAATTACCCTAAAATGGAAATAAATTTTTTAAAAATTTTCCAACAATATTTTCAACTTTTTTTCTTTAATCCATTATTTATATCCATATATATTTATTTTCTCAACCCAATTAATACTTATATTTTCTAAATAAAATATTATTTATTTATATTCAAAGACAAGGGAAGTAGCCAATGTCCGTGCCAGGGGAAAAGCCGCTCACTCTCACAAATAATAAACAACAGAGACTAACTACTAACTAAATAAGCTTTTTGACTAGGTTATATTTAAATATTAATGAAAAAATATATACATATATTTTAATATTCGGTGTCAATAAATCTCCATTTATCCCTTTTCTTTTAACTTTTATCAATTTCTCTTTAAATAATCAAAATTTTCAAACTTATTAATAACGATCAGAAAATCTTCAATTAATTATTCTACCTAAATATTTTTAATAAATATTTATTTATAGTAATATTTCATATCTATAAATAAATTTTAGTACATTTTTCTCATAACTAAATATTTAATGGCTCATCGGAAATAAACAAAATAAAACGTTCCCTGCTGACACAGAATTTGTAAAAATATAAATAATAATTTTCCTTTTAAATATTTTTATGAAAAAAAGAGAAAATATTTTTTTGGCTAAAAATTGTAGTCATTTTATAAATTTAAATAATTATTATAAATTAATAAGTATTCGGTGTTGATGAATGCCTTAATTTAAATAATTAAGTAGGAAATAATAATTAATAAAATAGATGTAATTTTTTTCAAAAATGTTTTTTAAATTAAATAAAAAAAATTTTATTTAATTTTATTTAAAATAAATAACCTTTGTTTTGCTTGTTCTTTTTTAGATTTAATAATTCCTTTTTAATTTATATAAGTAGTATTTATTTTTTTAAACACCTTTAAATCTTAAATAAATTATTAAACTTTAATTTTATTAGCAAATTTTTTGGTTATTCAACCAAAAAATATTTTTTTAATAATTTTTCTTCTGTTGTGGTTTTCTTTTTTCTTTCTTGCGCAATATTGCAAATAAATAAATAATTTTTGTTTGTATTACCATTTTTTATTTAATTTGTAGAAAGATTCTAATAAAAATAATTTTTATTTCAAATTTATTAATCTTTTTTGAACAAACTTTCTTGGTGTTAAAATAATAAAATTACAATAATATCTATCTATCATTTATCCACAAACATTTTTTAAAAAATATTAAATAAATAAATAATCTCCAGAACCGTTATTTATTTAAGCAAAACAGACATAAATAAATCCAAATAAAATTTTATTTTTATTTTTCATTAAATCCTCCAAATCCTTTCCTTTTTATTTTTATTAAATTGAAAATTATTTACTAAAAAATATTTTTATTTAAAAAAATATTTATTTTTAGATTTTTAAAGAAAAAAATGTATTTTTCTTTTAAATATTCTTCTAGTAGACTATTTCAATTAATATTATTACTTCAGTATTTTCAATTTGTTTTAATGTTTTTTGTTGAACGGGAAAAGTTTATGCCGAAAGGTAAAAAAAAAAATAAAATATACCGTAAATACTCTACTATAAGCCCTCTCTAATATAAGCCCATCCAAAATTTTTACGCGAGATTTTAATATAATTTTCTCTAAATTAATGCCAAACATTATTTTCATGATCTTATGAAGCATTAAATAAAAATATACTGTCCGGAAAATAATTTTTCAGAGTCGAGGAACTGGATTTTGTATCGGTGATATCAGTGGATTCGAAGGGATATTATGAGATCCTTCGAAATCTTACTAAATTCTCTTAATCTCTGGTTGAAAATTTATTACTCTGATAAGAAGGATGAAAAATATAAGCTCAGCCTCTAATATAAGCCCATCCGAGGAACCTATTGAAGATATAAGCCCAGGACTTATATTGGAGTATTTACGGTATATTCTTAATACTTAAAATTAAAATCTATTAATCTAATTTAAATAATTTTAGTTGAATGGGAATGTTCTGATAAATCAATTCAAATACTTGTAAAAACAATTAAACCTTTTTACGGAATTATTAGACCTAAAGGGGTAATTAAACAACAAAATTCCTCTCCTTGTATACTTCAAGGAAGTGGGGGGTTATTTACTAAAATGGAAATTCCTTTACTCGATGGTGGTTGGAAGGAATGTGGACTAAATTTAGAAAAGGTATTTTGTCTGTTAAAAAATTTCAAAATTTTCTCTATACTTCCAAAAATACCCGAATCAAAATATTTTTTTAAAAATTTCAAAAAGGATTCTTCGACACTTTGGACACAAATAGAAATTCACGAACATGTATTGCTACATTTACATGATGATCGTCTAGTAAATATTAGTTGTGCGGGTTGGGCTGAAACTTTAAATAAACAAAAAAAGAATGGAGAAAATAGGTGGGGAAATTAATTATTTTAAAACCTGTATTAATTACCCTCTCTAGAATAACTACCCCACTTTTATTAGTTACCCCATCCAACGATAAATTTAAACAATAAACAATAATTACCCCCATTAAATGCCCTAAAACACGTTCAAATTTCAACCCTCCCTCGATCCACGGTAGTTAATAAAATTTTACGGTTTTTAAAAATTAATGTATAAATTCCCTATTTTTTAGTGAATTTCAATTAGTTTTTCACAATTTAATTAATTACTCTATCAACAACAACAATAATTATTTAGAATTTGGAAAACCTTATAAATTAATGCTTTTTGGAACAACTAAACAAAATAAAAATAATTGGTGGATAATACATTCTTGTAGTGTTTCTTCTGTTGATAATTCTGTTAGAATTGAGGTATTTTGAAAGGGAATATTTCTGATTAAATCCAATAAAACACTAATTTAAATAATCAAAAATACCTCCAATTATCTACTAATTTTCTTAAATAATTTTTATATATTTTTATTCTTTACCTTTTTTAATTTTATTTCCTATAATTATCTACCCTTTTATTTTCCTATTTTGTTTCTTTTTTTAATCCTAATTATCTTTATATATAATTTTAATAGTAACTTTTGTACTTTTTTATATAAAAAAGTAGAAAGAATTAATTACTCTCAAATAACAACCTTGTTTTTATTTTGACGGTAATCAACTTCCCCCCAAACCTCCTTTACCTACCTCCATTCCAAACAAAACCAGCATTCTAATAATTGCTTAATAAATTTATTTTTTACATATCTTTTTCTAATTTTGCAATGATTTTTTGTTAATGAATTTTCGATTTGCGAGAAATTGTTTTCTTTGTTTCTATTGTTGTCCTAATTGTACTAGAAAGGTTTGTTTGTGGAATTGTTGCTAATTTTGTTTTTCTTTCTAAAAATATAATTTTTTTCTTAATTTTAAATAAATTAATTATATTTTAGAGAAAGCACAACTTTAATCTTTTTTTCTCTATATAATTTTATTTTAATTTATTAATCAAAATCCTTTAAATAACTATGTTGCTAATTTCAAAATTCTAATCTCTATTTTTTGTCTAAAATAAAATTAAAAGTAATTTAAATTTAAAAATTTATTTTTTTAAGTTAATTGATTCAAATGGCTGTTCTCTCGATCAAAAATTAATTTCCAATTTCCAAATGCAAACAACAATAACCCCAACATTACGAACTTTTTCCAAAAATTCTCTAAATAATTCCCAACTTTCAACAACACCAAAAACAGTTTTAGCTTCAGCATTTATTCCCTCAATTTTTAAATTAGATTCGGAAAGTACAACAATAAGTGGGGATTTGTTGAAATTTGAATGTTTAGTTGAACCTTGTAATGGGAAAGAAATACTTTGCAATTTCCCTCAGGTTTAGTTTTTTTTCAACAAAATTTTTTGAATAATTTTATTTTTGTTGTAATACTGTTAACAAGTGATCGGTTAAATCGCAGTTGCAGGATCCTGTATCAGGATTGGGTTTTAAAATTTCGAACAGGACAGGATCCTGCAGGATTAATCCTGAAAATCCTGGAATCCTGACAATCCTGAAAACTGAAAAAAAGGCAGGATTTCGGACAGGATCCTGAAAAATCCTGTGCGGGATCCTGTTCTGTACCGATCTCTACTGTTAACTAACTTTTCTTTTAATTTGCTCTTGAATATAATAATCTCGAAATGAATGTAAGGGTCTGTTCACTAAAGTTACCGTTACCCCCTTTTTTAATTTTATACTATTTGGATGATTAAATGTTTTTTATATTTCTTTTTCAAAATTTAAATTCCCTAAAATTTTAAAATTAATTTTTAGAGAGATTGTGAAACTAAAATAACAACATCAACTACACCTTCAACAACAATCACACAAAATATATTTGAAAAAGATAATGAAGAAAATATTGAAGGTGAGGAAGAAGAAGAAGAAGCATTTAAACAACAACAAGCAGAAAATGATTTAGAATTAGTTACAACACAATTATTAAATAATAATGAAGAAGAAGGAGAAAATGTAAATAAAATAAAAAAATATTTTAAATTAAATTTTGTTTTTAGTTAAAAGAAAATATAACAAAAATTAATTTAATTCAAACAACAACAACATTAAATACTCCCTCTTTAATTAATTCTTCTAATATTCCTAATATTTTATTAAATTCTGATTCTTTTTTGGGTAATAATTTAAAATAAAATTAATTTAAAAATGTGACGGCCACAACTTAGAAAATATCAAAAAATTGGATGGGACTTGGGAACTGAGAGGTCTCTGATGCAAAATTTTGTTAATCATTCACCCCACCACCGACTAATCTTTTTATTTTTTTACAGGGGGACAATAAATGTTTAGGACAGACTATTTTTGGCATAACTTTATTCAGATAAAAGATAATGAGCTCAAATGAACATTAAATTATAGGAAATTAAATAAGGAACAAATATTATCAAGAATTTTCGAAGTATTTGTTAGGCTATTTGTTGAGCTTTTCCGTCTTATTTTACTTAAAAATTATTTTTAAAGAAAAAAGACAACAAAATTTAATACAAATAATTGCACATGTACGGGACAGTAAAGAAAAATTAAATGAAGAATTAAATATTAAAAACAATAATTCTTTAAATTTTAATGAAAAATTAAATATTTCAACAACAACTATTGGTATTTAATTTTAAAGATTTTTTTCTAATTTTTTTTAAAAAAGATTCATTAGAAAATCCTTCAGAAACAACCCCTTTATTTGTTCCAATCAGAACTTTTCGTCTCCGAACACGCCCAACTAACTCTCCTTTATTAACAGAACAACCAAATATTTCTTTAGAAAGCACAACACAACAAAATAATTTTGAAGAAAATAATACTTTAACTACATTATTTGAAACGGTAATTTTGGGGGACAAATATTTTTTTAATTTTTTTTTAATTCAAAATTATTTAATTTTTAATTAATTTTTAATTCCATTTATCGAACTTTAAAGCATATACATGACTATTTAATTCCTAAGGCCGTGCAGTAGGTGGCGTGGTGTAATGGAAAAACATCAGTCCGGTCTACCGAAGATGCTGATTCGCACCAGCCGCCGATTAACCTTTTGACTAGCTAAAGGAGAGAAATAGCTATAGCCCAGCTGCTTTAATTAATTACTTAACCATTTTCCCTATTAATTTCTTTAAAAATATTTTTTAATTTTTTAAAGTCCTCTATTTCTTCTCCAATTTTGTCAACATCTTCATATTCCTCTTCACTAAATTTTTGTTCTCCAACAACAACAAATACCAATTGTATTTCACAAAACCAATTAATTCAAATATTTTGGATTAGCATATTTCTTTGTTTTATTTTTGTTTTTGGATGTTTTTGTAATTTATTAGTTTGTTGCTTTGGGAATAAAAGAAGTAGTAATGAAAGAGGAAATATTCAAAATTCTGGTAAATGGCAAAAATATGAAAAGAAAGGAAAAGGAAGAATTGTTATTGGTGGACAACAAAAGGTAGAAATTTAATTTAATTAATTAACAGATATTTATTTTTTTAAAGAAAAAAGTCCAAAATTTAATTTATCTAGTGGAAGAATTTTTTTGAACTTAATTTTAAGAATATTCAACAAAAAAATTTTAAATTTAAGAACTTGCCTCTCGGATCTCGCTTTTAAATACCCACATTTGTGTTTAAAAGTGAGCTACATATGTATTAGTATTTCACCGGAACCGATATTTTGACGGGATCCTATTTGAGTTCGGCTTCCGAAACCGCAACCAAAAAACTCCGGAACCTCCGGTGAAACTCTACTACATACATATAAAGATTGGAGGTATTTAAAATTGATATTTGACTGTACTAGTTAAAACTTTAAATTGATTTTGGTTATTTTATTTTAACAATCAAAATTTCTATTAAATTTTAAAATAAAAATAATTCATTTTAAAGTTAATTTCTGCCATTAATCCCCAACAATTAAATTGCCCTCCCTATAATTCAAACGATACAATAAACAAACAAAAGAAACAACAACCAACAGAATCTACAGATTTATGGATTAGCAGTAATGGTGTTAGTTTTAATGAACGAGTTGGTGGTGGACAAGGAGATGGGAGGGAATGTTTAGAGATGGGTTGGTGGTTATTCACAAATATTTTAAGAAAAACTATTCCTTTTTTAAAGAATCTAGCCATTTTGGCCATAGCAACACAACAAGTATTTATGGGGCTTTACCCATTCATAACCCTCAAGGAAATACACCTTCAAACAGACGATGTTCAATGCTTTCATATGCCTCAGTAAAAGCACCTAATATACATTCAACTCTTGCAGGACGTTGTTCAAATGCTAATAATATAATACAAAATCAAATACCAGCTTCTCGTATATTTTCTTCAAGTCAAAATCAACAAAATAATAATAAAAATATTAGGTATCTGAAATTAATATTTTCATACTTGTTTATTATTTGTTAGCCTGAGAACCTCTATCCCCACTGAAATATTTAGTCCTTTACAACATTCTACATATTAAAAAAAATATTTCTAAGATTTTATATCAAAATTATTTAGAAGTACATCTCCATCTTCTCTACATTCTCCATCAACTACAAATACTTCTTCGAATGGAGGGAATGGAATGAGAGAGAATACAGTTGATCAATTTAATCCACAATACCAACACCAACAACCACAATTACAAACATTTCTTCAACAAAGTCCAAATCACCAACCATTACAGCAACAACAAGTACTCAGACTTTTAAATGAATTGAATCTAACTTTTTATTTTTTAGCCTTCCAATAGTTTAGCTTCAAGTTCTATGCGTTCATCTACACTTGGAACACCTTCACCTTCAGACATAGAAGATCAACAAACTGGAACAAGTACACCAAGGCCCTCCATGGATTTTGGGACCAACCAAAAACATCAACAGGCAGATAATGAACAACATGTAATTTATGAACAAAATCAATCTTCTCCTGGTGTTCCTTTACAAAATTATTTGACTAAAACTATTATTGCTGGAGGACCAGACAAACACGAATCTTCCTCATTTTTTTAAATATTTATAAATAATCATTTCAGATATACACTTTGTTAGAATATCTAATTCTATAGTAGAGAACATAAACAACTAGAGACCGGACTGGGAGTGTCGTACGAGATGTCTCGAAAAATCTCAATAATTGAGATTTTCGTTCGAGATCTCGTCTCGATCCGGTTCTAATAATAACCAATTTATCTTAATTGATTAATTTGGATTGTTAAAATACATACTTTCAAATTTTCAAATTAATTACAAAAACTTATTAACCTAATTTCCGTTCTCTACTATGGATTAATATCAATAGAAATAATAATTTTCAAATACCCCACTTACATCCAAATCCAATCTCGATTATTTACTTTGACTTTCTTTCCAATCTTTATTTAACAGAGACAAGATTTTTATTGAATAACTCGAAAATCTTATTAAATATCGACGAAAAATCAACAAAATATGGACATTAACTTTCAAAAAATCCAGTCTCTATTTTCTTAGAATCTCTTCAAGTTAAAATTAGATTTTTAGTTTTATTCTTTTGTGGACAACACAAAAAATTTATAAAAATATTTTCTCCGATTTAAGCGGGTCTTTTTCTTGTATCAACTTTTAAATAAATGGCTTTAAATAATAACAGTTATATAATTTAAATTTGTTTCTTTTTTTAATACAATCTGCTTATGTTTAATTTTTTTCGAATAAATATAAAACCGTTTAAATTTTTTACTAGTCCAAGGGACAGAATGGATATGACAAAAAATAAGGTGTTTTTAAGATTTTAACTGGTGTTGCTGTTTTCGATTTGAGCCGACGTTCGGTGCATTTTTTCGAGCTTGTTTTTTTTCGATTCGGTTCGTTTTCGAGCTGAAAAGCCTCGGCTCGCTCGATCTTTCGAGTTTCGGTTAGAGCGAGCTGGCAACCCTAATTTTAACGGCGTATTAAACTAGTTTCTTGCCCCTTGTTTCCATGCCCTAAAGAATTTATTTTACAGACAAGACCGACATAGTTGGTCGGATCTTGTCCTGTACCGAGTTCTTAATAACATTTTATAAAAGAACTTTCTGCAAATCTATCAAAAATTTTTATTAACAAAAAATAAAACAAAATTATTCAGCACCAGTTATAGCATTGCTAGGCCTTTTAGCCATAAAAGTGCCAATTTCTTCCTTCTCAAAAATTTGTTGAAGTCCATTTGGATTAAAATAAATTGTTTCGGGTCGTAAACCAAATTGAAGTAATTGGGCATTATTTGCCGTTTTTAGTTGTTGATCTTCCGGAAATAAATTCTGAAAAAAATTTTTTAAGTTAACAAATTGTTGGAAAATTATTTTTTAAGATGATTTAAATTTAATTAAATATATCAAAAAAATTCTAAACTGTATCTTCGTCGTGAGAAACGTGTAATATTCGGCCAAGTAGTGGAACAATTAATTTATCTTCAATCTAAAAATTTTTGAATTTAATCTTAAAAAAATAAGAAAAACAAACAGTTGCGTAAAAACGAATTAAACGTCCATCTTCTTTTAAATCTGGTCCTTTCATTGGTTCTCCTCCAGCTAAATGTAAACATTGAACTGGAATTCGAATTCCCTTAAATTAATTTTTTTGGATTTTTTTTATCAAATTATCTTGGTATATAAATGAAAAATCGTCATTTGTATTTCCCAAAGGCATATTAAGGAGTTAAAGTTCGGGGTGGAGGGGGCTATAATGGATACGCAATTGCGGACACCAATAGCGGATAAGAGATTTTAAGAAAATTTAAGCTATTTTAGTTTTCAGTGTTGCATCAGTCTAAAAATCGGAAAATGACAGCAGGGACTAGAAAATAGCATATTATTTCAATAATTTTTAAAATTTTTTTTAAATTTTAAATCCGCAATTGTCGTAACACTGACTATAATGAGGATGTCCACCAGACCCTTCAAGCATAAAAACTTAATAATAAAAACTAAAATATGTACATGTTGTTCCATAGAAGTAGCCAAAATCAGAGGATTTAACATCCATTCATTACGAATTGAAACATAAATTGGCACAATCTTTAAAATTAAAATATTTAATTTTTATATTTAAAGAACCGTCGCTGAAATTTTGGAAGCTATTTTGGCCAAATCTCTAGGCATTTTGGCTATTCTAGTATCTTTCTGTGCCAAAAATTCCTCTTTCTTTTTTCCATAATATTCCAAATCGAACGGAGAGGCATAAGCTGCTTTTTTGGTTAAATAGAGTTTGCGAGCCAGATTGTCAGACAATTCAAGAATTTCGAATTTATCACCAACATCTTAACCAGAAAGTTTTTTAAATAAAAATATATTTAAATAAACCATCAACGTCCTCTAATAAAATCATTTTTAATGGAGGAGCTGGTTGTTGATATTGCGGGTCCTCAATTGCCTCATATCTGAAAATTAATTTTTAAAAATATTCAAAATACGGAATAATTGAACAATCTAGTAGTCAATACCAAGAGTCCAAGACTCTTGGTATTGACTGAAGACCTTTCTTGGGGTTTTTTCGGCCTAGGTAGTTTTATGGCATCTTTGGTGCCATATTGTACGCAAAATAAAAAATTTGCCCTATGAGATTAAAAAATTGCCTCTAGTCCTATTAATTTTTGGTCTTGAGTCTTGGAGTTTAGTCTTGGTTTCGAGTCTTGGAAAATTTTTGGACTTGGACAGCTCTACAATCTAGTATCATAAACCAAAAATTTTTTAAAGATCTGTTTACTTTTCTTAAAAATTATTGGTAGGAAATAATTAAAGAAACGAGGAGAAATTCTTTAAAAAATTTTTAATTCCACGTAAACAATAAACAAACACAAAAATAATTTTTACTTTGTAAAATCCTGATGATCGGTTGGTGGACGTTGTAAAAGTCCATCCGGAGTTCTTTCAGGCATATAAACATGGGTAAATTTCCATAAGAACTAAAAATAAAATGAAAATATGTACTTTCTAGAAATTTTATAAAATATCAAAAAATTTTCAAAATCTTGCTCAACAGACATGAAAGTATTTTTTAAAAGAAATTTTTATTCATACCTTAAAAAATTTAAAGACTAACCCTATTTTGTTGTTTTCTGTTCAATCGAGAAAAAGCCAGCAAACTGAATCTATGTTCAAGCACACACCTTTTCAACATTTAAATCAAAAAATTTTAAATAAAAATCGTTTAAAATTGATAAATAAAAAGGAAAAAACCAATTCCAAAAAAAACAAATAAAAAATTTTTAATTCAAAAATTCATAACAAAAATATTTTTGGTACTTATTGGTTATCCCAAAGTAGTTTTTACGGACTTTTATGCGGACTCATTTTTGCATGGAATGGTCAAAGGTTCTTTCTTCCTCGATTTTCTCAATTTTCCCTGTGCTCTCATTGAATGAAGCCACAAGGAAAATTGAGTGAAATCGAGGAAGGGAGAACCTTCTTGCTTTGTTGGGCGAAAGAAGCTTTGACCATTCCGTGCAAAAATGAGTCCGCATAAAATGTCCGCAAAAACTACTTTGGGATAACCGATAAGTACCATATTTTTACACTAAAAATTCAAATTTTATACCTAACAATTACCAAAAAACAACAAAATATCCAAAAAAATTCTTTAATAAGTCCAAATATCGGCATGTGGATCCCAACGAAGGATTTCTTCTCTACGACTTTTGTACATTCTAGTATGTCCTTTCATCGAAGCTAAATGATGATGACGTTTAAAAATTGCATAGCGATAACCTAAATTTTAAATAAAAATTAAAAGTAAATTTATTCCAAAAAATAACCGATATAGCAAGCACCAAAGAAAACAGGATAGTGCCATTTTGGTCGTTCAATAAAATATTTGCGGAGAAAATAGCTAATTGTAAATGTACCCATTTTTTAAATTATCTTAAAAATTTTAATGAGATAAATATTAAAATAAAATATTTGTTAGCATTAATGACAAAGGACAATTGGACATGAGACAAGTGCAAAGTAAAATGTGGTTAAGTGGTTTTTCAACATTGCCCCTTTTTTACTTTTCACAAAATTTTCGCCTGCGGCGCAGGAAAAGGAAGAAATCTGGCTCCTTGGCCTTCCAAAATTCTCAAAATTATTCACCTGCGGCGCTAAAAAAAAGGAATAATTATGAGGATATCGAAAGGTCTAGAGAGATAACTCCAAATCCTCCTTAATCCCACGATATCATTCCATATCCCTTTTATCTTTTTTCATATTTCCTAAGCTAGTTATCTTTCCAGACTTCGAGGTCCAGATCAGGGATAAGAAGAAAAAAAAAGAAGAAAAATCTTTATTACCTCAAATCTCTTTATCCTTGATAAACTTATATCGCTTAAATACCCCTTAATGAATTAAGAACCTCTCGTACATTTAACCCCTCGTAATTACTTCTATTCCCCCACATAAAAAGCAAAATTCCCGAATTCTCGACGATTTTTGGCTCGTGAATTCAATATTTTCGGATAAAACAAACAACGTAAACCTATGGGCGCCAGCGAGGCGCTTGTGCATAAAATTTATAAATATTATGCAAAATAACGCAGAGAGGTATCTTGGTTAGTAAAATGATACTGATTGATAGTATGTATAGAAAAATGTTTTATCAATGAAAAATTGTAAAAAATTTCAACTTAATTTAAAAATGAATAAAAACATGTATAAGAATGAGGTAATTATGTATTGTATCCTTCTTTACTTTCCTCAAAAGGCCACATAATGATCAGATTTCCTCATTTCTAAAAAATATCTAAAGGAACCAAGGTGTAGTTAATTTAGATAAATAATAGTCATATCGTATTTCCTGAAATAATAAATGCTTACAGCCCAAAACAACGCGCGGCCATAACAACGCAAAGCCTTATGGCTTTGCGTTGGAAAATTGTTGGAAAATTTGGAAAAGTTGGAAAATTTGGAAAATTTAGTTTATGGAGTTTAATTATGGCGGGGCTCTGATAGTAATGGTTTTTTATTTCAGGAAATACGTGGGTGGGGTTAAATCTATAAAGCATTTAAATAAAAACAATTTTCATAAAAATAGTACTACTACTTTGTCTCTTTTTTGTCTCACCGCAATTAATTAAACCCGTCCCTTTGAGACAAAATTTCTTGAAATAATCACAAACCCGTCCCATAGTGACGGGTTTGCAGTTAGATCAAAAGGAATACACCCCTCAAAGGTTTAATTAATTGTGGTGAGACAAAAAAGAGACAAAAGGGTAGGTATACTTATAATACTACTCATAAACTCTCATTAATTATCTCTCCAAAACTTCTTAGCTTCGTGAATATCAGTATAACGTAAATGAAGAGCTACATTATCAATTTTTCTAAGCTGAATAAAATTAAATTTTTAAATTAAAAATTATTTTTATTTTTACCTTTAAATATTTTTTTTCTATTTTTTCACTAAACTTTAAAAAATAATAATTTAAGGATGCTTTTTCTTCTGAATAATTAAATAATTTGGGCATATTTAAACCAACAATCCATTGTTTACACCAACTGTCCTCCCTTTAAATTTAATTTAAAATTAAAATTAATTATTTATTAATTACCCAAAATCTTTGAATTTTTCCCCGGCAATTAATCTTTTTTCACATTTTCCTTTTTTTGATTTATTTGGTGAAATATGTGAATATTCTAATTTTGGATATGCTTCCAATGACAAAACTAATTCAACTCTAATTCTGTTTTTTACAAAATTACAAAAATCTTCTCCAATATTTTTATCAATTCCAACACAAATAATTGTTACAAAATGATTGTACTTTGAAAGGAAAATAATTTTTTTAAATTAAAAATATAAATTAGGTACTTTATCAACAAAATTAGCTCCGTTAATCCATTGTTTCAGTCCTTTGTTAAAATTGGTGGATGATTGGCGACGAATTTGTCTTATTCCTTTAAAACCTATAAAGAAATTAAAGTTGCTGTAGAAATTGGAATCAGGATTCCCGACCCAAAAATAAAATCCAGATTTTTGGCAATTTATCATTATCAGGGAGTCAATGCTAGAAACCAAGGCTATTATTTAAACACTAAAGTAGAGTCTAAGTAAATTCAAGCATAAATTAACGAGTAATTATAGGTAATTAGAAGTTATAGTAAATCAGCTGTGCTATAGCTATTGCTCTCTTTTAGCTAGTGCAAAAGGTTAGTCATCGGCTGGGGGCGAACCAGAATCTTCAGTAGACCGGACTGATGTGTTTCCATTACACCACGGGGTCTACTGCATAGCCTTAGAAAATAAATAGCTATATGCTTTACATTATTATCGAGGGTTAGTTCTTATCCCAGGATCCTAGATTTCAAAATATTAACCTTCAATAAGTGTTTGTTTAATTATTTTCATTGTTGAATAATTAACATTAAAAGCACTTGACTGTTGTGGATATGCAGGTGTTAATACTGGCATTATTAATTTTGAATGTTTTTTTAATCTCTCAATATTTTCATTTTCATTTTCTTTTAATTTTTCTTTTTTCTTTTTTATATATTTTTTATCCTTTTTATCAACATCTTCCCAATCTTCTTTAATTCCTTGTTGATCTAGAAATGTTCGCTTTCTTGCAAATAATTCTGTATCAATTTTCCAACTGTGGGTTAACTTGCCATCTATTGTATCAATAAAAAAAGGTCTAGGCCAATTCCTTAAAAAATTAAAATTGTTTCTATACTTATCTTTAGAGACAGGATTTTTAATTTTAGCAAAAAAGTTTTTTTTTGTTTTGAATAAAAATAACTTTAAATTTTTAGGAGTAAATTGCATTTTTTGTATGTTTTCATATTTGTATATTTCGGTATTTTTATGAATATTATAGTGCATATTTCGCATTTTTTAATGCATAAAAATCCTCTCTACTTATTTTTCTTGATGATTTACAATTCCTTATTGTGCCCCTAATTATAATAACACTTTAGATATTATTGTACCGATCCTTTTTCAGACACTATATGTAATCAAAGTCAAATGTTTATTTTTAAATAATTACCTAATTAAAACTTAAATATTTAATTAAATTTGATTACTTTATAAATAATTTTGCTTTAAAAATTAAAGTTATCCAAACTAACCATGTCAAAAATGTAAGAAAGAATCTATCTACTATAACCAAAACAGAACAAGTATTTGGATATAATAAATAAATTTTAGTTAACATAATTAACATAGAAGTACCACTCAAAAATCCAAATTGATTTCCATAAATAGAATTATCTATAAATTTTTAAAATAAAAAATATTTTTCTAAATAGGTGTTTTACTTTCTGCCCAAATTTTTAATAAAATTAATGCCGAACGATATATTTTTATTTTTTCCTCTTCTTTTGGTAATAATTCTTTAATAATTAAATTCGATTTATAACCAGATAAGGGAAAAACTCTTCCTAAACTATTATTTTCTGCATTATTTAAAGCTTTATCCATCCAATTTTCATTATTTTTTATCTCTTCAGGAATTTGTACATAACTAATGTCTATATCAATTCCATAAAATTTAAATTTCAATAAAGGAACACGTATTTCAGTAATTCTTTTTAGATTACTAACTTTATCCTAAATTTTAATTAGTAGATATGTTTATTATTGTTTTTTATTTATAAATTGATAGATTGAACGGAGGCTTGATTTCATCAATAGACCTTTCTTAGCAAGCTAGGTTTGGGGATTAAAATCTAAGTTTTATGTTCCAGTTTAATATTTAACCGTTTATTTTCCTGTCTGGCTGTAAGTTAGGTTTAATCGCATCCGGACTGGAACTTTACAAAAAATCCCGAACAAGAACATCCGATCAAACACAACTGGACAAGAGTCAGACTTATATTTAGATTTATAGTTCATATTTCAACCCAACCATAAATCTTGTAAAATATCTAATAACTATGCATACATACAATTAAGTACTATATCGCTTTATCACTATATTATTTAAATTTATATTTTACCTGTAAACATAAATAACAGTAAAAAGACTGATCAGAACAATTTTTCTCTTTATTATCTAAACATTTTGAAGATAAACGTCCAAAAAATTGTGTAGCTCTACTTTTTAATTTTTTTGTTCCATCATTATTTTCTTCTCTTTCTTCATCCCAAAAATATTCAGTATTCTTTCTAACAACATAAATAGCGTCAATATCAGAATTTTTTGTATTTACTTCCAACATTAAAGATCCCCCAATCAAAAATTCATAATCAGCTTCAAATATTTCTGCCCAGTTCTTTAATATATTTTTTAATTTTTTAATTATTTCGTTTATATTTTTATCATTTTCTTTATTTAATTCAATTAATTCAAATATTTCATAATTATAATTACTTTCTTCATTCTCCTCAGAAAATATTAAATTTTGAATTAATTCTGGATTTAAATATTTTGCTGGGCCATATTCTCCAATATTTTGATTATCTGAAATTAATTTTGTTTAGAATCGTTTTAGAGTATTTTTATTATATGTACATACATACCGTATATGCTCTATTAATTACCCTCTCTCAAATAATTGCCCCCGCTCTATTAATTACTCCCTCCAGCGAGGTTGAAACAATAATTACCCAGGGTAATTATTAGAGCATTTACGGTATTCATTCTCATTTCAAAATAAGCGCTTTCAACATCCTTTCTCTAAAAAACTTAAATGGCCTAGAATAAATTTGGGGTAATGACAGATCAGAAAAATTCAAATCAGAACAACCAGTCTAATAAGAATAACCAATATCTCTTTAATTTTTATCCCATGGTTAAAAGAAGCCAGCTATGACCGTTTTCTTTTAACGGTCAAGAAGCCAGCTATGACCGTTAAAAGAAGCCAGCTATGACCAGCTATGACCGTTTTATGAGCCAGCTATGACCGAATAAATTTAAAAATTGTTACTAATTAAATTTAAACTAAAAATTAATTAAAAGTATTTTATTTATTTAGTAAATATTCTTAATTTAATTTAGTACCAATATCCCTCTGATTTCTAAATTTATTCCAATCATTTACATATTTGTTCATCAATTCTATTAAACCATTCTTCAATCCCTTTTGACTCTTCAACTCCAAAAAGAATTGAAATAATATTTTCTTTTAAATTTTGACTTTTTTCTTTAATAAATAAAATATTTCTCGAAGAAACTAATTTTTGTAAATGTAATTGATGAATAACAAAATAAATATTTTTTTCTTCAATATTTTTATTATCAACTTTCCACGTTCCTTCAATTAAATAAACCAATTCTTTAAGTTGGTTGTACAATTCAATTGGAGTATTTCCCAAAACCTTAAAAATAATTAATTCGAGACTAAGACGAATAATAGACAAGTTAATTTTATTCCTCTCAAATTGTGTTGAAATTAGACAGTGAGTGATTTGGGCGGAAAATTTTGACTCATAAAAAATAAATAATTGAGGATAGCCATAACGGTAGGCAGCCCAAACACTCAATACTCATTCACAGATATTTCTCGGGTTCTGGTTTAATTTGTTGGCTAAAGATCTCCTTTAGACGTTATATTCTTCGGTTACCACCTTTTCTACTTAGATATTTATCTAATAAATTAATTACTTTATTCTGATCATCTTCTGTTAAATTTTCCATCCATTTTGACATTTTTTCAAAAATTTCTCCTCCAAATAATTCTTTATAAATTAATGGCCATATTTCTTTTAATTGTTTAAATGCAATAAAACGTTTATGTATTTCATTAATAATAATGCCTATATCAATTAAATAACGTTTTTCTATTGAAGGGTTTTCGATAAATTCTAAATAAAATTTATTAATTATTTGTTCATTTGTAAATTCTGAAATTTTTAATTTTAATTCATTTAAAGATGTTGAAGAAAATGAAGAAATATTTTTTTGTTTTTCATTATTTCCTCCAATTAATTTTTTCTTTTTTGGCTTTTTAGGAGGAGGAGGCTTTTCCTTTATTTTTTGTTTTTCCTCAACAATTTCTGATTTTATTTCAATTGTTTGTTCAACTGTTTTCTGATTTTGTTCTTTTATTTCTTCTTCTATATTGCTTGTAGAAGTACTTTCTTTATTATTTTTATTTTTCTTATTTGAGGATTTTTTATTCTTTTTTGGATTTTCTGATTTTTCATCGGCTTTCCCTCCTTTCCCTCCTTTCTCTTTTATCTTCTTTCCTTTTCCTTTATTTTCCTTTGATGGTTCTTCATCCCATAAAGCAATGGTTTTTAAATATTCATCGTCCTGAGCTTTACGTTCTTCTTCTGTTCTAACATCTATTTTACTTATAATTTCATATATTTTATTTATATTTTTATGTTCGATAAACAAATTTAGCTCTTTTTTGAATTTTTCTTCTCCCATTTCTTTTAATCCTTAAATTAATAAATATAAGAAAGTTCCGAATGTTAGCCTGATAGCTGAAGCTAGATAGCCTTGATAGTGAACGACATATCGACTTTTTCTTAAGGAAAAAAAGTCGTTTTAAAAAAATCTACAATTATTCGCGAACGACTTTTTTTTAAACACACAACGCCAGAACTACGTAAATATCGATGTTTTGCGCCAAACGATTGCGAAACGACTTTTTTGTGTCTCTTTTTCTCTAATTTCACATTATATTTCCTTTCTCTTTTTCTATTAATTTTCGTTTGTGTAGTCTCTCCTTTGGAATTTGCAATTTTCCATTTTTATAAATGTTCAGTCCCTTTTCTGTAATTTTTAGGGATTTTTCCACATATATTCTTACTAAATGGATGAATTTGAAAATGAATTAAGAGTCGCATTCGAAAGCGGCGATCTCGAAGAACCTGTGACACCGTCATCGAAACGTCGAAAATCCATATCCTTAAGGATTAGATCTAGGAAGTCCGAAGAGTAGGCGATCATGGAATATGTTAAATATATCGAGCCTGGTTCTCAACATCACCACCAAGCAACTGCTGGCCAACCTGTAAACACTATTAACGCGAAACAAAGTCAAATTGAAGATCAGTACCAACGTTTAATGGTTTTGGGTGATCAACGAAAGAGAAAACTGGAAAAGGCTTACAAAGGTTGTTTAGAAAACAATCCCAAAATTATCTTTAAATCCCTTTTATTTAAAGCCTACCAATTATTGCGTGAAGCAAATGACCTCGCAGAGTGGATAAAGTCACGAGAAACAGTTGCTTCTCAACAAGAAATTGGTCAAGATTTGGAACATGCAGAAGTATTACAAACAAAATTCAATGACTTTAAATGTGACTTGAAAGCAAATGAAGTTAGATTACAAGAAATGAATCAAATTGCTACTAGTTGGAAGGCTTTAGAACAAAAGGCGGAACAAAGAGGGCAGCAATTAGAATCTGCACATGAAGTTCAACGTTTCCATAAGGACGTGGAGGAGACGAGGGATTGGATACAAGAAAAGAATGAAGCTTTGGATACTGAAGATTTTGGTCGTGATCTTCGTTCAGTCCAAGCTCTACAAAGAAAACATGAGGGAGTTGAAAGGGATTTGGCTGCTTTAGGGGATAAAATACGTGCTTTAGATGAAAAAGTTAAAAATTGAATCCTTTTAAAAGCAATTTTTGTTTATTAGGCCAATCGTTTACGCTTTTCTCGCTCAAGAGGACCCGACTGGGGATAATGTTGAATCTCTAATTAAAAAACATGAAGATTTTGATAAAGCTATTGCTTCACAACAAGAAAAATTAAATAATTTGGATCAATTAGCAAAACAATTAGTACACTTATTTCATTTTCTACACTTATTTCATTACAATCATTATTTAAAGATGAATAAAATTTTGTTGTTTTATTTTTTTTAAACTTTAGAAAACGAAAACCTAACAAAAATTCCAATGGAGAGACAACGACATAGAAAATTAATAGAAAAAGAGAAAGGAAATATAATGTGAAATTAGAGAAAAAGAGACACAAAAAAGTCGTTTCGCAATCGTTTGGCGCAAAACATCGATATTAACGTAGTTCTGGCATTATGTATTAAAAAAAAGTCGTTCGCGAATAAAAGTAGTTATTCGCCGCGAATCGACGAAAACGTAGATATGTCGTTCACTAAGCCTTGATCATCTGCTATGAACTAATAACTAAAGTTTTCTGTTAAATTGTCTACAGTTCAATACACGAGTTAAAATAAATTAGCACGGAAAACCCCTTCCGCATCCAGTAACTTACTAATAGCCAAATTCTTTTTGAAATTTTCATTCTTTATAAAAACATCCAATGTAGTTAAATGTTTTTCTTTAATTCTTTTTTCAAGGTCATCTAGGTCATCTGTGGTTAAATCATCTGTTGAATTTTCTACATCGTCGATGTCGAGTACTTTTTTCACCTAAGTTATTCAAAATTTTAATTTCATAAGCTGAGAATTAGTTTTTAGGTTTAATCACCGCCTTTTCCTAAGGGCGTTGGCGAGACGATTGTACAAAGCCCCCAACGGTCTCTGGGTTCTGTACTAGTAACATAGACCTATTTCTATTATCGCTACAATGGGCATGATCGGCATACTCCGCAGCAACAAAAACTCCCAAAAAGGCCATAGGTAAGGACCCAATATGAAAGAACAATGGAATAAAAGTAAGAAAAATGGTCTTTGTCTGTGGGTCTTCTGCGTCGACACGCCATAAAATCAAATTTTTTCAACTCTCAATTGAAGGGACTAAACATCTTCAATTATTAACGTCACTCTCGTAATCGACTAATTTTTAAATAATTTTACAATTTATTCTAGCAAAGAGCTCTAGAGATGGAACGGAACAATTGAAAATATGCCACGAAAATTACCCAAATATATGGCAGAACTTGGAATTCGTTAATTTTAGTAAATTTTCAAAAAGTGGAAGATAATTTTGTTCTTTTATATGTGGTGAAATATTAAATTATTATATTAAATAGTTACAGATATTATGCTTCCATCATTACATTTGCCAGTTTCAATTTTATCTAATATTAATTTAAGTGATCTGTAATATTTTTGTTCATTTAATTCTTCTAAAATAGTACAATAAAATCCCCAATAATATTTATTAACTAAAAGTTTAGTTTCATTGAAATACTTTATATAATCATTTTGAATATGTTTCATTTTCCAATTTTTAGAATTAACAATTCCATCTATTAATTTACCCCAAACTAAAAAATTTGCAGTCATTTTATTTATTTTCTTTGATTTTTCATCATTTAACGTAAAAGCATTTAAATAATTTTGCTTTAATAATATTTCATCTTTTTTGAAGTCTAAATTTTAAAGAACATTAAAAAAATTGATTTTAATTTTAAACACATTAATTCCTAATCATCAACCATTAAAAATTATTTGTACAATTATTCTTTTTTGCAAAATGCCTGGATTTACCACGTTATTATTTTTAAATAAGGATTTGTCTACTCTTTACTAAATTATTGGTCTTGAGGTCAGTATGTAGTAGTGTTATTCAAACGCGATTTTTCGGTATCGGTATTTTCGGTAAAATACCGATACCGAAAAAATACCGATTTTCTAAAAATTGTGCGGTACCGTATTCGGTATCGGTATTTCGGTAAAAATACCGCGGTATTACCGAAAAATACCGCCGTAATACGGTACCGTGAATAACACTAGTATGTAGTACCATGAATAATTTATAAAGAGAATTAGCTGTACTGTATTTGTACCATGGAGAAATCATTGGACGGGAGATGGAATTGAACCATCTTGGAATGTATTCAAACCGATTGTGCCGTGCCACCTTCGAAAAGATGGGAGATTATTTTTATTAATATTATTCCAATGTACATATTATTTTATTATTTCCATACCTTCTAATATATCCAATAATTTTAACTCCGAATTTAGTTTAAAAAATCTCTCGTTATCTATAATTAAATTGCCCAATATAAATTTGCTTTTAAAACTTTTTGTTAATTTTTCTTTTTCTTTTTGATTATTCTCTAAATAATGTCTTAAATCACTTAAATGTTCATTTTCTATAATCCTTCTTTGTTTTTTTAATATTTGTTCTTTTCCTTCTTTTGTTGCCCAACTATTTTCACATACTTTAATTGTTTCTTTAAATACCATTTCTTCCAATTTTTCAATTAAAGTTTCAATTTTTTCGTCATCTAAACCTTCATCTAAATCTACATCATCAATTAAACTTGTATATACACAAATAAAACAATTAGCAATTTCAATTCTTTTTTTAATCAAATCAAAAAACTCTTTTTTTATATTTTTGATTATTTCCTTTAATTTTAAATAATTTTCGTTTGTTTTATCATCAAATTCTCCCTCTAACTGATCATAAATTCTCTCAAAAGTTGCTAATAAAAGAGAAGCATTAATTCTGATTTCTGCCTTTATACTCTTTTCTAATTCTTCGTTTGTTAACAATTCTTCTTCATTATTTTCTTCTAATAAAAGTATTTTATTATATAAATACCATTGGTAATTAGATCCCATTTTACCTTAAATTGTTAACAAAAATTTATTAGTGAATCTGAGGGGTTGCACGACACTGGCACAGTGATCCAATTGCACAGTAAGACAATTGCACAGAGGACAATTTCACAGTAAAGTGTTGTTTATTCGCAAAACGACCTGTTTATTCGGGAAACTCTCCAAATAAACGCAAGGCTCATTCAATAACTTCGTCTGTGTAATTGTTACTGTGCAATTGGGTACTGTGCCCGTGTCGGAGCGCCGTCACCCATTTTAAAAAATATTATCTTTTTTAAATTTTTCAAATATAAACAGAAAAAATAAACATTTTTAAAAATTAATTTTAAAACTTTCGAAATAAAATATCAAACCAAATGGAATCAAAATAGGATATTCAATTTGCAAATTTCCCAATTCATTTCCTATTAAACTGTATAAACGATTTTTTGATTTATTAGCATCTTCTTCATCCTCTGTATTTGCATACTCTTCAAAGAAGTCTTTTATTTTTTGTGAATTTTCAATTAAATATTTTATTGTTGAATAATGTAAAGCATCCATTTGTTTATCATTTGCTTTTTCTTTAAACATTTTGATAACTTCATCAATATTTTCTTTGTTATCGCAGTCAAAAATCATTGGATCATCCTGAAAATATTTTATATCCCTTGAATTGATCGGGGAATCCGGTTCTTTTTTGTATATTTCTGCACTTAACTATTTTCATATTTGGGATAATCTGTTAGCTTATTGGAAAAATTTTTGAAATTTTAAAAACTTAAAAAAAGTACTTTAAAGCTAACAGTTTATTCCAAACCCAGGCCGAGGACCCGAATACCAAAAATATCACTCAACTTGTTTTTCTATTTACGATTTTATTTTTAAATTAAAATTTAAATTATTTATACAAACTAACAATATTCAAAATTTCAGTAAATTTACTATTCATCATTTCATTCCTCCATAATTCATTACTTAAAAGTATTTTATTTTTCACCCAATTTTCCATAAAACAATGTAAAACACAAAATTCTTTTTTTGAATTATTTATTTGTTTTAAACGTTCTTTTATTTTAGTACTTTCATTAATAAATTCATCAAATTTTTCAGAGAAGTTTGTATTAAATAAATTATTTCTTTTAACAAAATCTTAATTTTTAAATATTTTTTAATAAATATTTAGTATTTAAAAGATGGATTTTGGAACTTTAAATTTAATTAAAAGTTAGAATAATTACAAGCTTCTTTATTATGGTTCGAGTGCTAGAATCTCTTCCGTCTAGAATACACCCTCTTAATTATGGGCAAATTTAACAAAATTTCAGAAAAAAACAAAACTTGCAAGGACTAAAAACTATTAAAAACTCTAAATAATCCATCACTTAATCTATCAGTATCACTTTCAAGCAAGTCCCATTACAAAATTAAGAAAATTGACGAGAAGTGAGTGGATTTACTACAATAAGAGATAATTTAAAGTCAGCATACCTGAATTAATTAAAGAATCTAGAAATTGTTTATAATTAAATTTCATTGATTCAATAGTTAAATCTTCAGTAGGAATTTCATCTTTACAATCAATTGAAAGAAATTCAATAAATAAATTTGTTAATTTTTCCATTTCCCCACTCTCAATAATTTCTTTACAAAAAATATTTAAAAATAATAATAAAAATATTTTTAAAATAAATAATTTTTTCATTTAATCTAAAAAAATATATATTGTTTTTATTAGAGTTGGCAGGTATCGGGATTCCGACCTAACAAATAAAATCAGTATCGGTATTATTGAATGATGATACCGATCCCGATACCGACCTCGGAATCGGGATTGGCCAAAACCGTATCGGATTTTCTAGAAAAACTTTAATATGACCAAATATAAATAATTTTATTTTCCAATTCAAAGATTTTAATAATATGTATTAAGATGATAAATAAACACTATGATGTTATAGACTCTCGGTCTCGGTTCCCGAGTCGTGAAATTTCCCGGGTTTTTGAGCTCTCTGACTCGACTCTCGGTCTCGGGGTTAATTCCCGGTCTCGGCTTTTTTTCACTCTCGAACATCACTTTTCACTCTCGAACATCACCTGATCCCGAAAGAGGGGTTTTCGGGTTTTACGTGGTTTACATCCCCTAAGATGCCATTTTTTAGAGGAATTTAAAGGGAAAAATTTTTATTTTTTCCCTCCATATTTTTCAATTTAATTTCTAAAGCCTCATAATTATTCTTTTCTTCTTTTAAATTAAACTTAATAATATTAAATTCGTTTTGAATTTCTAAAACTTTTCCGCTAAGTTTAACAATATGTTGCTAAATTTTAAATTAGGTAATATGAACAATTTATTTTCCTTCTGATGTGAGATGTAAATCGGAGAGATGTAACCTCCTGCATAGCTTTAAATGGTTTAGAATATTTAATAAATTTTAAAAAATTAATGTTTTCCTGTTTATATTTTTTTTATATTTTCACCTTTTATCTAAAAAAAGTTTTAGTTTCTGGCTTATCATACATATGTATTTTTGTTTTGCCTTTTTTACAATTGTTAAGTTGGGCAAACATTTACGACTGGGAATTTTAATTTTTAAATTTAAAATTTTTAATTTATAAAATATTAAATAATAAATAAATATTTATGTTAAATGGCTATATGTATGTCAAATGAATTTACATTAATTTTATTTAATTCCACACCTAATAATCAATTTATTAAAGGCCTGTGAGGGGGGATAGAGGGAAAAAATCCCAAGAAGTAGAGTGAATGAAAAATTAAGAGAGAAAAATTAAAAGGAGGGGAAGAAAGAAAAAAATTTTTAAGAGGGAAAATTTTTTATTGACTAAAAATTTTAAATTTTGCACTTTATCCCTCCTTTTTAATTTTTCCCTCTTAATTTTACATTTCCTCTACTATTTCTTGGGATTTTTTTTCTATATCCCCCCTCACTGGCCTTTAATAAATTGATTATTAGACGTGGAAAAAATTGTTTAAAGGAAAATGTTTTTCTGTTTTATGTAAATTTTTTGGAGAATTTAAACATTAATATTTATTTAAATTTAATAAAAACTTCTTTAAAATAGTGTAGAATAAAATAACAAGATCATTTATTAAAGATATATGTACATATAATTTGTAGACAAAAACACATCTTAAATTTAATTTTATTTGAAAGAAAAATTGTAAAAAGAACGTCAAGTCTCATTTGTGAAGTGTCAACTTCTGCTACATATATTATCTAAACTCAATCGAGAATTGGCAAGTAGATTGCAGTCAGATGTTAGTTTTATAGTAGAATAATCTGGAGAGTTTTCAAAAGTGGTTTTGAAACTTTTATTCAAAAAAATTTTTTAGAATAATTCATCGAATTATTTATTAATTGACCAACGATTTTCTGGCTTATTTAATGACCCTGATTTTTAAATAGTTGAAGATAATGAACAATACAAACAATTGGCCCCATTGATGAAAAAATTGGAAGTCAAAAAGAAGAAAAATGAATAAAGAATTGAAGAAAAGGAAATAAATATAAATAATGATAAAATGGCATAAATGGGTACTGATAATGAATTTTCAACTTAAAAGTTTTATATTTATTTTTTTTTAATTTTGGGCTTAATATTATAATTAAAAATTTATTAAAATAGTTTTTAGTCTATTATTATTTTATCTTCCACTAGAAAATTGGAACAAAAACAATAGGGTTCTTTTAATTCGTTTTTCGAATCGCTTTGGTCTCAGTTCAACGCGTGCAAATAAATTCGCATTTTATTTCTTTATTTGAACAATTGCATGAGAAAATAAGCTAGAAGAAAAATAAATTTTCTCGTTACGTTTCTTGCATTGCTGATCATTTTGATCAGTTTCATAGGTTTTTTCTTATTCCCAGTTTAAACGGTTTCTATACAAAGGATCGTTTTATAAAGGATCGCCCTGTTAAAGGATCGCCACGCTTAAAAACGTTTGGGTGAGGGGCAGAACTTCGAATGACAAAACTTAGTCCAGACAAAACTTCGAATTACCTATTGTACTTCCTTAACTTCCTTCAGTTCCTGAATGTCATCAAGGGGTACAAGTCCGATTGTAGTTATTATTTTTTCAAAATAATGGCGGCGCAAATGTTCTCGGCGCAAAAGTCGTGATACCTATACTTTTGCCCATATCTTTATGTCGATGACTGTATTTGTCCATTAATATCGAAATTCAATCCTTGTTTGTTTAATTTAATTTTCATTAAAACATTAACCAATTAATTTATAAACAAATATTTAATTTTAAGAAAATTTGTTTATTAAAGATTTTTAGAATTAAATTACATAAAGTTAATTTTATAAAAAAATTTAAATTAAATCCTCAAATATTTAAATCACTTTTCAAATAGGAACATAATTAATCTCTTAAAAAATCAAATAAAAGTTAAATTACAATAACATAATTATTATATTTTTCAATGTTTTCTGATTTTGTACATGCCAGGGATGGGTCGGGTCAAGAAAAAAGTCGGACCATATTTCGGATCGTGTTTTAGAAATTTTCTTCGGATCAGGTTTTGCTTCGAAATAAGACCGGGGTTTGGCTCTCGGGCCCATCCCTAGTATATGTATACATGTTGTCAAATGTATCGAAAACATGTATTTTCCGAGGAGTTGTTATAATTTTTACTAAATTATGAAATTATTTCTTTTATTTTATAATTTATATCTCTCTAATCTCTATTAATAACTCTACATATTCTTTCCCAGTTTTTATCATTTCTAACAAATATTATATATTAACTTTTCTTTTATTCCAATTGTTCTTCCTTTTATTTTTGAGCATTTTATACCCCTTTTTAAATTCCCAACGGATTCTTATGATGCAAAAGTCCGAAAAGCTTTATCAAAAAACAAAAAAATCTTTTTTGGGTAGTTTAGGCAATGGGTTATTTTTATGTCGAAAGAAGAAGGATATAAATTATTATCTCACCAAAAGTATTGATGCCTTCTAGTTTATAATGTTTTTAAGATTTTAATAAGTCTTAGGATAAAAGAAAAATAAGCAGAACAGAAAAATTTTAAATAGGTAATACTTTTATTAAAGACCGGAATTTCGTATCGCGCCGTATTCCATACCGTAATACCGTTACCGATAAATACCGATAAAAACTTCGTATCGTATTTAAAAAATTAATTTATCAAAAAATAATCATTCTTATATATAAATTTGTGTAGATTATTACTTTGTTATCTATCATTATTTGTTTTTATCTAAAGTTATCTCGCTGTTCAAGCTTCTATTAAATTTTTGTAACGATTTAATGACTATGTATAACTTTTCAATCTCTTAATCGCTAGACAAAAATAGGCAATGTGAGTAATAAGATTTTTAATTTTATTTCCTCCTCAAAAAATTCTTCTAAAAAATAACAGACCCACAAAAATTATTTTTATGAATTTTCCACTTAAATAGCTTTTATATTTTTTGAATAAAAAAATAATAATTTTAAAATGTGTCAATTATGAAGATTAAATTTTTATTGTTTTTTGTTGGGCTTTTAACTTTTTTTACTTCTCTTACTCATTTTTTATTTATTGAAACAATTATTTTATTTTCAAATAAAGTATTATGATGTAATAAAAAAATAGATTATTTTTTTAAATAAAAATGTCATAATTTTAGGTTTAAAAACTTTTAGTTTTTATTCTGTTCTTTTGTTGAAATTTAATTATTTAATTTTATATTCTAAAAAAGATTCTATTTTTTAATTTAAAAATCCATAAGAAAATATTAATCAGAAAAACTATCAATTTATTTTTAAATAATTTTTTAATCTTTTAAATTACAAATTAGTATTCAATTAAATAATTTATTTTTCTACAAATTTATTTTAAGTTTTTTAATCCCTTTCCTTTTTTTATTTTGAAAGAAAAGTTTTCGTTTTATTTTCTTTAATGGAATTTTTTGGAATTTGAAACCTTGATATCTTAAAATTAAATAAAAAGTTTAAATATTTAGAAGAAAATAAATATTTAGAAAATTATTTTGAATTAATTTAAATATTTATTTGAAATAATTTTTTAATAAAAAATTAATTAAAAGAATTAGGTATTTATTTTCTAAAATTCATAATTTTCTCTATATTCTAGACAAAAATATTTTTTACTTTCCTTTTAATTTTTAAGTAAATATTTTATTTTTCAAAAATTTTCTCACCTTCTTTTGAAATTTAAAAGTGCTCTTAAACTGTTTTAAAAATTAAAATAAAACGTCCAAGAAACGTCCAATTTCTAGATAATCGGAATTTTTTCCCTTTTCAAAGCTTTTAAGTATATAATGGATAAATTCACACACCTTTAGAGGGAATTCACACATTTTTAAAGGATTGGGGGGGGGGGGGGAGGGGTGTTCTTTTAAAAATATTCTGATGATATAGGTAGTTAATATTTGTTTGTGAAATACTAGAAACCTTTAACACAAAAGAATTTAAAAAAGAATAAAATAAAATTATTAAAGAGAGAGATGACGAGGGTGAGGGGAGGGTGAGGAGAGATATCCTTCTCTAAGGTGTTTTTATTTTTATTGCAAAAAGGAAGGAACAAAAATTTTTTCTTTTATAATATTTTAGATAATTCTCTTCAATTCTTTTTTTAAATAAATTTGCTAAATATTTTTAATGCAAATATTTTTATGAAAATATTATTTCTAATAGTAAAAAAATAATTTATCAAAATTCATTTAGAAATATAATTATACATATTTAAAATAAACTTGGCTAAGTTTAGGAAAGAAGAAACCCAAAAAATTTTTTTAATTAAATTTATTTATCGAAAAAAAATTTTTAATTTCGTTGATTAAGGAATTAAGATCAACAACAAATTAAGAGAGATTATTTTAATTTACCGTATTTACTCAATTAATTCCCCACCCTCAAATAATTCCCCATGCCAGGAATGAGTTGAAAAAATAATTCCCCATCCTGAATACCCTACTACACGTTCAAATTTCAAAACTCAAATAATTCCCCGGGGGAATTAATCGAGTAAATACGGTAGTTTTAGTTTAGATTTAATTTTATTTTAAAATTATTTTGTAGCTATTTTTCTTTTGATAGATTTATTTTAACAATAATTTTCATTAATATTTTTTTAAAAAATATTTATTTTAAATAGAGTATTTAATTATTATTTAAAATACTTTTTAAAAATGAATATGGCAAAACTTCGTCAGATCTTAGAATTTAGAAGAGCTACAAAAATGCCTCCATTATTACCACCTAAAAGAAGCAAAAAGTTTTTTATAAAAAATAAAAAACTAAAATAAATAAATAATAATTTAAGGCAAGATGAAGGAAAAAGAAATAATCAAAGAGAAATTTTAGATATTCATTTAAAATTAAGGTATTTAAATAATTAAGAAATAAAATTTTAAAAAATATTAGGGAATTTATTGGAACAAGAAAAACAGAAAATGGAGGTTCTAGTATTGTTTGTGCTTTTTCTGAAAGTGAAGAAACACAAAGAGGGCCGTGGAAAGTGGTAAATAATTTAGAGAAATTAAATAATTATTTTAGATAAATTAAATACCGTAAATGTTCTAATAGAAGCCCGGCTCCAATAGAAGCCCATGCCCTATTAGAACCTCGCCCAATGTGGGTATTGATGCCCTCATAGAAGCCCATGCCTCATTAGAAGCTCACCCAATGCAACCCATTGAAAAATAGACCCAGGGCTTCTATTGGAGCATTTACGGTAACTAATTCAAAAAAATAAATATTTTTTAGACAACAGCAAGTGAATTATTAAATTCGGGTTTTGGCAAAAAATATTTTGAATTACCAAATGTTTTTGCAATTGAATTTCAATTAGAAAGACAGCAATATTTACGTTTAGATATTTGTGATTTACTTGAAACACAAAATGAAGCAAAAAGTTTTGGTTATTGTGTTTTTTCTGTTTCGGAATTAGTTTGTGCTAGAAATGGAAAAATACAAAGAAAATTAATGTAAATTTATTTATTTAATATGTAAATAACTAAAAAATGTAAAATAAAATTTTTAGTAATGACGGGACTGGACAAGAGATTGCTGAGGTTGTTTTTACATTTTATTTATTAAAATATTTGTATAGAGAATGTAGGTAGTCTCCAATTTTTAAAATTCTTCTTTTTAACTAAATGAAAAAATTAAATTAAAAAATATTTTGGATATCCCTAAAAAATTCTTTCAATAATTGAAACTAAGTAAAAGGGTATATAATAAATTATTTATTAGTTTACCTATATCTCTTAATTGAGTTACCTATTTAATGTGAATGGAGCAATTATTTATTAATTTATTATTTCTCCACAAAAATTATTTTTAAAACTTTTCTAGGCCATCCTTTCATGTACATTAAGGCCAAAAACCCATGCAATAATTCTTCAATTTGCAGCTAATAATTTATATAAAAAAGGAATTAATGCAACAACACAAGTAGAAATAATAATTAAATTTTAAAAAATAAATTTTTTAAAGATTTTTTTCGAAATTTATCGACTTCCAATTGATGGGGGTTGTGAAGATAATATTGAATTTGAAAGAAGAAATAATATTGAAGATGAATTAAATGCTAATACTAGTAATGGACAAAGGAAAATATCTATTTCTGGTTCTCCTACAGAAATTAGCGGAACTAAAAGTAAAAAATAAAAGTAGAAAAAATAATTTAAAAGAATTATAATTTTAAATGATACTATGTATTCATAGATTTTATAGATTTTATAAGGGTTATTTAATGGAAACAAAGCTTTAAAGAGCATATTTAACTGCCAATTAGGGTTGGGGGTCCGGTCCGAAAGATCAAGTCGAGCATCGAATTTTGGCCCGAAAAAGACTCGGTCGGCCCGGTCCGATAAAAATACGGCCCAAAAAATGACTCGAACGTCGGCCCGACTCGAAAACAACAACCCTACTGCTAATATTTCTCAATTTAAGATATAATTTTTAGCCCTGAAATTCTGTATATAATAAACAATTTCCCAATTTATTATTTTCTTTTATCCAGATTCATTAATTTATCGAAGTGAAAGTCTAAAATGGAATTCTGGAAGGATTATTTGGAGAACCTTTACTTTGCAATCATCAGAAATTTGTGTAGGAAATCAACAATTAAGATTTAGATGTTTACAAGAATTAGATCAATCAAAATTGCCAGATTCCCCTCCCCAAGTTTTGGGTGAATTCACAACAGATTTTAATAAATTACAGAGAGGGCAAGGATTCGAAAACATTTATTTTGTTTGTTTATTGTGTTATTTAATATTTATTTAGTATATATTTTAGCTTAGTTATGAAGGTAACAGAAATAGAAAAAAGAGTGCTGGAACTTTTGAACTTTGTCGATTTCATCAAGTAAATTTTTAAGAAAATTGAATATTTCCCCCTTTTATTTAAGTCTTATAATCCCTCATTTTTGGAATATATTTTTGCTGGTTCTTTTCTTAATTTAGCATTTGCTGTTGATTTTTCTCGTTCGGATTCGGCTGTAGATGAAAATAATTTGAGGCGTTATGTGAGTGATGTTGAATTATCTATTTCTGCTTTTGGAGAGCCTTTGAGAGAATTCCAAAGGTTTTGAAGAAGAAAATTTATTTTTTAAAAATTTATTTTTTAGTTCCAATTCCTATGCTGCTTTTGGGTTGGGTGCTAAAATTCCTCCTCAATTTAGAGAGTCTCAAGAATTTTGTCTGGTCAGATATACTTTTAACTAAAATATTCTTTATTTGTTTTTAGAATTTAGAAACCGACCCTTATTGTAGAGGCCTTTCTTCAGTCTTCTCTGCCTTCAAAACGTCATTTGTTAATGTCCAACCATTAAATATGGCACATTTATCTCACGTTATTTATTATGTGGCAAAGTTTGTCTATTTAATTTTTTTAATTTTATATTTTCAAAAGATTGGCACAAAATTCTCTTTCCCGAGCTTCTCCAGCTTTATCTTCTGGTATGGAAACTATAACTGATTATAATGCTCCCAATTATTTTGTTCTTGTAATTATAACTAGAGGAGTTTTTGATGATCTTAAAGAAACTGTACAAGTAAATAAATAAATTATTATCTAAAAATTATTACTTAATCTTCATAACAAAGATTCTAATAATAAAAATATTTTTAGGCAATTATTTTTGCTTCTCGTTCACCAATTTCTATAATTTTGGTTGAAATTTGTAATGACCAAAAACGCGAGGAAATTACTGAATTGGAAAGACTAGCAACTGCGGGAACTAGACTAAACTACCATGGAAGAAAACCTGAACGTGATTGTACTCAAGTATGATCATATAGATTAATCAAAAAATCCTTTTCTTAAAGTATGTCTCAATATCTTCTTGTCGTTTTGAGGAAAGTAAACCAAATGATCTTAAAGCGTTAATTGCTGAAAGGGGTCTTTCAACAATTGGACAACAAATGTGTACTTGGATGCTTAGAAATGGCTACCAAAAAGTCCCTCCTACTGTTGATATGCAAATGTTGGATCCTATACTAACCGATGTTCCGGTGAGAATATTTTTGTTTGGATGATTCTCTGATTGTTATATCATAATTTAATTTTAAAAAATAATTTTTAATAAAAATATTCCAAACATCTTTTCCATTTTCTGAGGCGCAAAACATCTCTCTCACCGTCCAATCTAATAGAAGTGGCGGGCCATCAACATCAACAAGTTCAAATGCAACAACAATCAGTAGACCGACTTCCTGGAAACGTTCGTTATTCAATCAGTTTTCCCTACGACAATTTCGAAAAACATCCAAACAACGAAACCAAAATAACCAAAAACAGCTCAATTCTGCGGGTAACAGATCCACTTCTACCTGATAAAAGTTGTTTTGATATATCAGAAATTCCAAATTCTAATTTCGGTAATTTTTCTCTTTAATTTTTTGAAAATGAGCTGAAATTAACTAGAATAAAAATTTTTTTAAGGCCTTCCAAAATTTTCTAAATTTCCTGCGGCTCTAAAAGACAATTTATGAGGGAACTTGACCGAGAATAGTAGCGTACTTAGATTTTGAAAATTTTCCCTCTATGTACTTCCAAATTAAACTCTTTGTACTTACATTTAATTTTTTCTCGATTGGGCCCTGCTTTAATAGAATTACTTTTTTCAGTTACTGTTCCTGTTAGAAAAAGTACAATAAATGCAGTAAAGAGGCAATTTCGAAAATTGGGTAAATTTTAATTTAAATTCCTTAATCTTTATTTGTTTTAAAGAATTAAATAATTTTGCCCTCTCATTGCCGTCTTCACCTCGCCATTTAAATAATTTAACTTTGAATGGTACATCTCTTAGCACGGCTATGCGTCAACATTTATCTGTAGACTCTCGATCTTCATCAGTTAAATCTCCTGGCCGTAGAATTAAAAAAGCGACAACTTTAATTCAATTTGAGAAAAATAATAAATAAATGAGATATTTTTAATGACAAATATCTAATATACAAATTTAAATTGTTAAAAAATTTTTTTTGATAATTCAATATTGGTGACTGTACATATCAAAAAATTGAGCTTTGATATATGTAAATTGTAATTAAATTTAAATTTTTATTTAAATTTCCTTTTATTTTTTCTAATTTTGCTGGGTTCATTTAAAATAAAATTTGAATTCTTTTATTTAAAAAATTCTAAATCTATCAAGTAATAGGAGGAATAAATTTGCAGTTTTCTTTTCCTTACAGATCTGAAGCATGGTGGTTTTTTAATATATTTACTGAATCGGCAAGCCTATTTGGACATAACTTTGATCTCTCTATTTATGATCTTGATTTGCTCAATTCAATTAAAACTAGTGAAGAATATGCAGAGTTTTAAATTCAAAATTTTAATTATTTTTTATTAAAATAAAGCCATTTTGAGCGATTTTACCATATTTTTGCCAAATATCTAAGTGGCTGCACCATATTTTTATGAATTGAAAAATGCCACCCTGATTTAAAGACCTAACCAATTTACAGTTCTAGTCAATTCTGCGTTCATTTTTAAATTTCTATCCTCCATAATAATTAATCCATACTTTTATCATCTTCAATTCTTACCTTTAAAAATTGAAAAAAAAATTAAAAAATAATTCCTCATTTTTTTCTTTTACCAAATATTTTGATAATTCTGGATCAGCAAATACTTTGTCCAATAACTTAAAAAAATAATTTGTTAATTAGATTTTGTTTTAAGAAAATTATATTAGTATTTTACTTATCAGTGCCAAAAATTTTTCGGAACTAGCGATTGCGGGTAATAGACTGCTTGAAATCGAGTTTTTAAAATCAAAGTTCGTGTGTGTAAATTACGTAATCAGCTTCATAATAATATAAAATAATACGCTCTATGTACTATAATGACGTGACGCGGAAATCGCTTTAGAAAAATCCCACTACAGTGATAGTATAAAAGCCCCCATTAGAGTCAGTTTAGTTGGCCAGATGACGGTCAAGCTAGCCACTGCCTGCTCCGGGCTCGGGCAACCTAGTTTGATAGCAATAGTTGCGTAGTTCTAGCTAGCCACTGGCTGCTCCGGGCTCGGTCAACCTAGCTATGTCTACGTTAACTAGTGCGATACGTGGCCCCTTTGTGTTAAGTTGTATTCATTAGTCGACACTTTTTGTGCAGACGGTGTTTCCTTAACCAAAGGGCTGGGTCTAGTTAGCCACTGCCTGCTCCGGGCTTGGGCAACCTAGCTATTACCCGGCTAGGTTAGGCAAAATTAGCCACTGCCTGCTTCGGGCTTGGGCAACCTAGTTGAACCTAACCCGCTTCTTACAACCACTGCCACAATTGTTGCAATTGTTGTCTTGGTTGAGTAGGTCGCTAGCCACTGCCTGCTTCGGGCTTGGGCAACCTAGTCCTACGGAAGTGGTGGAGTACAAGGTTTGCCCGTTTACAACTGTGTACCTCCTCGCGGTGTACTCTGGGCATTGATTTATATTTTGTAAATCAATGGCTAAGCACGGTAAAAACGGGAAAAGATTTTAAGCCTCTAAAATAATCCCCATATTTTTAAGTAATCCCCGATATTTAGTATTAATTAAGGAAGATAAAGCGTGCAGATCAGGGATGTCACGGGTTACCCGAAACCCGATACCCGAAACCCGAAACCCGGCCTTTTTTTCGACCCGATACCCGAAACCCGATCCGAGAAATTTTCTAAAACCCGACCCGAAACCCGACCCGAGAATTTTTATTTTTCAAAACCCGACCCGAGTTTTTTCAAAATTTTCGCCCGCGTCGCAGAAAAAGGGAAGATTTTTAGCTTAATGATCTTCCAAAATTCTGAAAATTTTCGCCTGCGGCGCTGAAAAAGGAAGAAATCTGGCTTCAGACCTTCAAGAATTCTCAAAATTTTCGCCTGCGGCGCTGAGAAGGGAAGATTTTTGGCTTTTTGGCCTTCCAAAATTCTCAAAATTTTGGTTTTTTTCGACCCGAAACCCGATCCGAAGAAAATTTTGAAAACCCGATCCGAAACCCGACCCGACTTTTTGGTCAACCCGAAACCCGATCCGAGAAAAATTTTGGAAACCCGACCCGAAACCCGACCCGACATTTTTCTCAACCCGTGAAATCCCTGGTGCAGATCTTGAATTCTGTTTATGTGTTTTATTCTTGTGATCCATCAACTTGGTTTTATCCCTATTGTTTTATCTTATTGTATTATCTTTGTTTACAATTATTTTTAGTTACTGTTACTTCTTAAGCACCATACATAGTTACGGCAATAAAAGTTTAATAACTTTTACAACTCAATAATTAACGGAGACTTAAAAATTTCCTAATTTTTTGGCAAAATGTTTTCTGTTGAAATTTTCATTTGAAATTAGATATTTTTGTTTTTCTAAATTTATTTTTAACTTTTAAGAGAATTATTTTAATTATTTTTATTTTTAGCTTCAATATTTAAATATAACTATTTAAAAAGAATTTTGAATGTCTCGAAAATTTTATTTTCTTCTTTTAATAATTTTGAGTTTTTATTTTATTTATTCTGCTAAACCTTCAATTAAACCCAAAAAGAAGCAAGCTGTTGTTTCTGATGATGAACCAAATCTCTATATTTTTAATGAAAATTTTGTTCAGGAAATGGAAAAGTAAGTTTCAAATAGTTTTTCCTAGACTGGCTAAGCTGGATAGCCAGTCTAGAGCTGGCTAGAGCTGGATATTCCTTTACCCCGACTGATCTACCGGGTGCTTTTTTTCTCTCTTTTAATTACGATTGCGCCCCGAACGCCGGGGGGGGGGGTGTCGGGGTACGGGATTTTCGAATTGTTTCGGGTCGGGGAAAATCTGAAAATCTTTCAGGAACGGAGGTCGGGGTACGGTGTTGGGGCCAATACATTTAATAAATCGAAAATTCCCGCCTGCCATATTTACTCGATTAATTCCCCTGAGGGATTATTCAAGGTTGAGAAATTAATCGAGTTTTGTTGAGTGCTTTTATTAAACGCTGTCCAGCTCTTTCTAGGACATGGACACAGATTTTACTATAGGTACATTTTTATTTTTTTTAGTTCTTTAATGAATCTTACATCATTTAATCATGTTCGTTCAAGAGTTGCTAAATTGGGTATCGTAATAAATTTAATTTTCTTTAATTTTTAATTATTTTTTAAAGGTAAAATTGCACTCTATCTTCGCCTTTATCGTACTTGGATTTATTCTCCCGCCTCGGGTTAATTTTTATTTTTAATTTGCCTCACCATTAAAAATAAAAATCATCTACATTTTTTCCTACATTTTAAGGCCACAGAGGATTTCATCGTTACAATCCTTATCCTCCAGTTACTTTTCATCCTTATATTTATGGAAATTGCTCCAATCCAAACAACTTTATGGTTATTTTTTTATTAACAATTTAATATGTGTTTTTAATTTTAGCATTTTTAAATTAATAAACAGTGCTTATACGCGCATATCAAAATCTGTACTTGTACCTTTTACTTGCTACTAGGCCAAAAATAGGGGTGGACGAGCACAAGCAAAAACTAGTTAAAACTACTTTATTTTCTTTCATTCTCCCTTATAGGAACGAGTGGTGTGACTGGTTAAGGCTACACTTACCTAAGTTGTTTTTTGTAAGGGTGGGAGGGAGGACGATTCCTAGTCTGATAAAATGTCTACAATTCCGCTGACTTGGACATAAGAAAATTCGAAAATTTTTAGATTTTTTGCCTTTTTCTTAAGTACGAGTATGTAAGAAGTACGAGACCAGAAATGGGCAGGTACTAAATACGAGTACGAACAAAATTGAAGAAATTTATAAGCACTGTTAGTAAGTTTTTTTTAAATTTTAGTCTTGTATCGACACTCTCTTCGAAAACATTCAACAACGATCAAAATTTATGTTTCCAAAAGCTTATCAAAAAGCAGAAACATTTATTATTGAGTTAATTTTTTCTAAAATTATTCTTAATTTTTAAAATAATTTTATTTCAGGGAGGAGGATTTTTTACATAAAGTTACAAACACAAAATTTAAGTAAATTTAAAAAGAAAAAAAAAATAATTTTTTAAATTATGTAATTTTTAAAGTTTTGATTTTTCTGCCTCTTATTTTCTTTGTTTTTTAACCAAAAATCGAGTTAGTTTTTTGGCACGTCTTCCCTTTTGCTCTTATGGATTTGAAGAACATCAAATACATGAAGTTATTTTTAAATTGTTTTGAAGAAATAAAATTTTATTTTTTTCAAAAGTGGCCAGCAATGGCTTTTCGCCAATTTGAAGATTCCCCTGAGCTTTGGAGATTTGGGAAAAATATTTCTTTGGATCCAATTGATCATTTTAGTAATCAGATTGATTTTGAATGTGCTGATGTTAGGTATGGGGAATTA